CGTGCTCGGCGGTGATGATGATGGGGACCCCAGCTTGGCCACCTCATCTACCATTAGCCGCCGTGCGATCTCCACCTGGCGCTCGCTGTTGGTGATGCCCGTCACCTTGCAGCCCAGCTCACGGGCGAGATACCTGGCAGTGCCGCCGATGCCGCACCCGACGTCTAAAATTTTAGAGCCGGCGGCAACTCCCGAAGACTCGACCAGACGCAGGACTTGGTTGATCTGAGCCTGCGCATCGCTGTCTGTTGGCGACTTGTAGTAGCCCTGGTGGATGTGCTCTCCCCTGGTTGGCAGCGTCAGCACGCAAATTGGAACGAGCAGGTTGGGGAAGCATCCTACCATACTTTGAGAAACAGGTCTGAAGTCCGGTTGTAGTGCTTTTGGACCCTTTTCTTGAGACGCGTTGTCTCGACCTTGGTTTTGTCACCGCCGGGTTGGGCGGTTTGCTTTACTGGGTCCTTCAGTTCTGACATTGTGTAGGCCTGGCAGAATGCGTAGCAAGCGCTGGGCAAGCAGGTGCCGGCGAATTGAAAGGACTGGTGGTTTTCTACTTGTTAAGTAGGGCCGGTGAAGGCTGCCAGTTGTCTGTACGAAAGTGCCTACAAGAACCAACCGTCAATGTACGTGGTCCTTGACCGCAGATTGTTGCATCATGTACATACACCCCCGGAGAGATTAGGGCGTGCGGAAACGGTCTAAGGCATTAGTAATATAAACCTCTCATCGAGGAGTCATTACAATGCTAGTTGTTCAGAGTAAGCTAATTATAAATGAGTGTTGTTTAATAGATTACTAGATATGTATCGTATTGTTTTTTTTTCCTTCATAAACTGGGTTCAATACGGGCTATACAAAGCTGACGTTGTGATGCCTGGGACCTGTAAGCACCTAAGGTAGTAGAGTAGGGTGTCATGTAGAAGCGGCTGCCGATGTCAGGGGGGCTTGACCTTACCGGGTCCTTGAAGTCACCCTACAATGTCCTGTCACAACGTGGAGCCCATGTTTACAACAGTTATTATGATTTGCTAAAGCCTCAACGTAGTCAGCCTGCAGTCAACGTCGTGGAGACTGGTTATTCTACACCCAGCATGTACAGGTAGCTGGAGGAAGACCACATGCTCTTAGTACAGGCGGTAAGGGTAGCTTGATAGCGGTCAAGTCTTCTTTCCTCTTTGGTTGGCAATGCGTTATGGGGCACTGGCGCATGACTGGTGACCTCGCAAGGACCCAAGGTTCCCTTGCCTTGGAGTACTCCATAGTTAAATCAAGTTTCATCTCCCCCAAAGTACCAAGACGCCAAGATGTTGCTCCCCCGCGGAGCCTTGTCGCCGGCGGTACCATGGGTTCAAGTGTCCGTGCATTTTGCGATTTGCGATTCGTCTAGGGCTGACTGCGATTGGTGATTCTCAACCAGCTCTCTCGTAGTCAACAGGTGCATGTCCACGGATAGTCAAAACGAAGAGTACTCCTGATGATGTCACTAAAGAAGGATCGGCAAATGGGCAAATGGGCCTTACCTACTTGCGTAGGTTGCCCGGGCGAAGGACTAACAAGCCAACGAATCAAGGTTATGGGGAGTGAATATTACTATATAGCAATCAATCGGCTTAGCCAATAAATCATGCCGGCAACAACACGCCCCCTGTTCTCCCAGTTAGGTCTTTGGTCGGCGATAATTAAAAACAGGACTACGCCATGCCACGGCCCGGCCATTACTGCATATAGCACTTAGCTCTATCGGCAGGGCAGACAACGGTGGTATTAAAGGATTCTATGCGCGCGACGGATCGAATCTGCACTCCACACAACCTTTGTCATGAGGCATGATGGTCTGCAGGACGGCAAGGCGGTCGAGGAAACCACGGGACAGGAATTATTGGAGCGGCATGCAACTACATGCCTCCCCTTTTGCCCTTTTTGGACATATTCCAACGACCTCGGCTCGTACTCCTGTCCATTATCAACAGACACAAGTTAGCTACCGCCTAGGTACCGCTCGCCTGATACTTCTTTATTGGGTAGGTACTAGTGCTAGTGTTTTAATCTATTCGCGGCATTACATACCTTGCCGTGGGGTGATAATACAGTACGATGTCTTCCAGGTACATCTGGCCCACCCGTCAGACTCTTACTCTCAGCACAAGTACCTGATACCGGGCTAGATATTTGCGAGTTAATCCACGATCCTTCGGCTGAAAGTTCTCCTAGCTTTCAATCGGCATTACTGCAACGCTAGATCCTCCACGTGGGTCCGGGATTCTCGTGCTCGGAACACAATCCCCATTTGGTCCTCTCGGTGAATAACCACGGGGCCTGCATAGAACCATGGCTCTTAATTGTCAGACGATGCCGTGATGGACACCCCGTTGATGATACGCGCGCATGTGCATAGGATCTTGAACCGAATCTAACCCCAAATAGCTCCGCTATGGTGTATAGGTAAGTTTATCATTTGATTGCTATGACAGTAGAATCAGTAGCACAGGTGGAACGAATACCGCACAGAAGTTCTTCTCAGATGTATCCGAACGTATGTTCCGTACCTGCGGCGCATTACGTAGTATTTGACCATACCACTCTCTCCAGGCCACTAGTCAAGTACAGACAAGGGGTTAGTTTCTAGAGCATCCTAGGGATAGCAACTTTATCACTTCGCAACCAGTAAGCCTGGGCTATTACAGCGGTATCAGGCAGAGGGGCATAGCGCTAAGAATTAGTAGTCTACTGCATGCTTCTTCCCACTTGCAAGACAGTCAGTACGGATTTCGACCTCGATCTCCAACCTTTAGCCTCGTTGCAGTGAACCAAGCTCTTTCCACACCCTGGCATCATGGCGGACTCCCAAGAGGCTGGGAGCGCCTTTGTCTCTTCGGCAGAGGCACTGACCACCATGGTCAAGGCCCATAAGATACGACCTGAGCATACCAAGTCACTGCCAACCTTTTATCGTAATCTAGAGGAGGGCCTCGACATCAAGCGCGCATCGGAGAGCTTCTACTCAACGCTGCCGGGCACCGGCCCCAGTGCTGGCTCCGTGGACTTCTGCTCCGGGGATGTCATGGGCATGGGAAGAAGCTCTGAGCACCGTGCCGAGTTCCTTGCCGAGCTCGAGAGGCATCCCGAGTTCGCCCTGGGCACCACCAGCTCCAGGCTCATGGACGGCAACTACCCGTACATAGTGGAAGCCGAGTCAGAGATTGCTGCCTTCCACGGCTATGAGGCCGGTCTCATTGTAGGCTCTGGTTTTGAGGCCAACTTGGCCATCTGGGGGACAATCCCGAAGCAGGGAGATGTCATTGTGTACGATTCTTTGGTCCATGCGAGTACCCACGATGGCATGAGACAGGCACTGGCGACGGACAGAGTCTCGTTCCCCCATAGCGATGTCGATGCCTTTCGAGACACGCTCCGGGACATCCTTGCCACGCGGCCTCTAGTGCGCCAGGGGAAGCGGACTGTCCTTGTTGCCGTCGAGTCGATCTATAGCATGGACGGCGATCTCTGCCCGCTGCAGGAACTCGTCGAGGCCGCCCGGGAGGTCTTCCAGGATAATGAGGGCGGTGTCCAGTTCGTGGTTGATGAAGCGCACAGCATTGGGTTCATAGGTCCTGACGGTAAGGGCCTCGTTTGTGAGCTCGGTTTGGAGGAGGACATTGCTGTGGTTATGCATTCCTTTGGAAAAGCGATCGGAGCCGCTGGAGGTAAGCGCTCGGTGGCATTCTCATAAGGACATCCGTATGCTGACTCTTCCTTTAGCGATCATTCTCGGAAACAAAAGCATTCGAGATACAGTTATAAACTTTTCACGGGCAGTCATGTTCTCTACAGCACCCACCTTCACTTTCATCGCCGCCATCAGGTCAGGATACAAGGTGCTCAGCACCAAGGACAAGGTATGCATACATTCTTTTCTCAGTTTCTCAAAAAGGCCGTTCACTACAAATCGACAAGTTTCTGATCTTCGTGTTTGCAGGATCGACTACACATCCAGGATATGTCCAGGCTTTTCTTTGATCTTGTGACCTCCCATCCACTCTGGTCGTCGGCCAAGTCCAAGGGTATCCTGCGGATCCCTCTCGCTGACGGCTGGGAAGACCGGATGGTTCACACCCATCTGCTCGCCATCTCCACCAGGCCGAAGTCATTCTGGTGGATGTACTGCCACCTTCTCTCGGCTTCCTACCGCACATTTCCCGTCACATACCCGGTGGTGCCACCGGGGCAGGGTCGTCTGCGGGTCATCATCCACGCCTACAACACAGAAGAGCAAGTCAGAGGGTTTGTAGACGCCATCTATGTATGGGTACAGGAGATGATGGACATAGAGGCGGGGACGGCAGCCGAACCCGTGACCAAGGCCGCAAAGGAAGTCTACGATTGGATGAGAACGCAGCAGTTGAACGGGTTGGGCATGGTGTGATCCGGAAGAGAGCACTACCTACGTAGATGCATACTACGTACATGAAAACACTCCCCAGGCTCTGCTAATATTATGCTTAAAGCCCATGCCCGATCTACCTGCGCATTGGCCTTCAAAAGACGCGGTGTGAATGGAGATGCGAAGGGCCTTGAGATTCATGTGGCGCGGCTCGACCTTGCCGATATGGCACATGCCATTTCTGAACGACAATAGTTTAGATTTTTAAGAAAGAAAAGGCACAATATTGTAAATGTAATCTCTCCTGATTTTACTCACAAAGGTACTTACTTGACCTGATGAAAGTTCGAGTTGGAAGTAAAAAAAGAGCAATGGAAGAGGGCAGACCTGAGACCCCAACAGAATGACTGCAAGGTACCTAGTTACTTTACATATCGCCTAAGACCAAACGGTCGACTTGATCACAGCATTAGTTTCTAACAATGAAGTCTTCTGCCGAGGGTGGCGTATTACATGCCGGTGCCCCTCATCTCGCTGTAGTAATATCGATAACTAGTGAATGCAGTATTACGGCGTAGCGGCGTGGAGCTCTCCGTCACGACAGGGGTTGATCTCTGACATGGGTGACCCCGGTGACGGTGGTCCAGGGGGTGTTGGGGAGCCGAAAGAGGGGTGCGCCGAGAAAACCTCTGTTCAAGGACCATACCATATCGAGAAGGATGGTATGTGGTTTACCTAGACCAAGTGTTCTTCCTCGTCTTACCTGAATGGCATGATCGGGTCGTGGGTAGCTTTTACCTGCCCTACCGCTATCTGTCCTTTCCATATACGACTCTCTTGTCTACTAGTCACTCCTTTGGATTCTTGTCAGCATCACCCCACGCCAACTAAAAGCAGATCGTCCAATGGAACCCATTGCTATTGTAGGCCTGGCCTTCAGGCTGCCCGACGGCGTTGAAGATGATTTGAGCTTCTGGGATATGCTTGAGAATAGGAGGAATGTAATGAAGGAGTGGCCAGAGAATCGAGCAAACATCGAGTCATTCTATAAGCCAGGTTCGGGGATCAAGAACACGGCAAGTCCAAACAAAAGCTGGCGTAAAACCTGCTTCTTACTGACAAAAGAAAACAGTTATATTCAAAGGGTGGCTACTTTATGAATGGGGATCCGGCCGCCTTCGATGCTCCCTTCTTCTCAATCACAGCCCAGGGTATGTAGGGTAGTTCTGTTATTCGGTGTATATCAAAATGCTGACGTGTAGACGCAGAGGCGGCTGCAATGGACCCGCAGCAACGATGGCTTCTCGAGACATCATACAGGGCTCTAGAAAATGGCATGTGGTCATCAAACCTTCAACCTGCTTCAATCTTGAACCTACTGCTTACACTGTGTAGCGGGTATTCCTGTGGAAAAGGCAGCAGGAACTAGTACGGCAGTCTACGCGTCGTCTACGTCTGAAGACTACATTATGATGATTGCCAAAGACCCAGATCATGCGCCGGCAACCGTATCAACCTCTACTAGCCCCAGCATTCAGGCGAACCGTATTAGTTGGTACTTTGATCTGAAAGGCCCCAGTATCCATGTCAACACGGCTTGTTCATCCAGTATGATCACCATGGACCTTGCATGTCAGAGCCTGAGGAGTGGGCAGAGTTCAATGGTATGCGGATCTAAAGCAAGTCTGGAAACTTATCAAGATTATAACGGTTTCTTTAGGCCTTAGTAACATCTGCAAATAGTCTGTTAAGTCCGGAATGGTCTCTCTATCAGTCAAACATGAGTTTCCTGTCAGCGGATAGTCGGTGCTATAGCTTCGATCAGCGCGCCAATGGCTATGCAAGAGGAGAAGGAGTTGCTGTGCTTGTTCTCAAGAGAATAACAGATGCAATAAGGGACAGGGACATGATTCGTGCTGTGATTCGAGCAACCGGTTCGAACCAAGACGGCCATACCCCAGGCCTCGCTCAGCCAAGCCAGTCTGCGCAGGAGGCGCTCATTCGCCAGGTGTACAAGAGTTGCAACTTGAGCTTTGAGCACACACGTTACGTGGAAGCCCATGGTATGTTCTTAGTGACTAGATTCCACACCGTTCTATCTGACAGGTCTAGGCACCGGTACACAGATTGGAGACGTGACTGAAGCAACCGCGCTTGGTCGGGTTTTCAAAGCCAGCAGGTCCGCCAGTGAGCCATTATACATGTACGTAAGATACAATCTCAGTATATGTTCTTTCTTCGATTTTAGTTGGACCATATCCAGCAATCGTGTTTGTTTCCAGGCTGTGGAAGTTCGGCTTATAATTATACTTACACACTTGTTAACTTGATCTCCTCGCAGTGGCTCTATCAAAGCAAACATCGGCCATCTTGAAGGAGCCAGCGGCCTCGCCGGTATTCTCAAAAGCATCATGATACTTGAGACTGGAATCATTCCTCCGAACGCCTTGTTTGAGAAACTAAATCGAAAGATTAATGCCAGATTCTACCATCTCGAGGTATAACCTCCGAGCTTCGTGATTCGCTTTGATTTATTCTAGGCTAATCAGCTTTAGGTGCCTACTTCTCCTATCCCTTGGCCGGAAGAAGGCCTGCGGCGAATCTCGATTGATTCTTTTGGCTTTGGCGGAGCCAATAGTCACATGGTTCTCGACGACGCTTATCATATCATTGAGGCTCTTGGACACGTAGCCCATCTTCACGTCCTCAACGGCCCCAGGCTTCTCACCAACACGGTATTAAATGGGACAAATGGCGTGAACGGGACAAACGGGGTGAACGAAGCGCACGAAATTAATGAAGATAACGGTATCAACGGAGCAAACGGTACCAATGGTGTAAACGGGACCAATGGAGACAGCCACGCAACCAGCAAAATAGACCCAACGCCTGGATACAAGCTACTGACGTGGTCTGCACGAGATGAAGCCGCCCTGAAGCGGATGCTGGGTTTGTATGATGGGTATCTAAAAGCCAAGGTGCGCGAAGATACCAGCTTTCTACAGGACCTGTCCTACACACTTGCTACGCGTCGGAGTCTAATGGCTTGGAGGTCATTCTCTGTTGTAGACGGGCAAGGCGCTCTAGAGACACTGAACCTCTCTGCTGCAAAGTGCGAGCGCGCAGCGCGTGAAGTTGGAGTGGCCTTCATCTTCACCGGCCAGGGAGCGCAATATGCCAGCATGGGAATGGAGTTGCTTCGCTACCCTGTCTTTCAAGCTACACTTGCCAAGATACAGGAAGTATTTCAAGAAGTAGGAGCCGAGTGGTCACTATTTGGTAAGTATGGCATCTTGCTTCTCGTCCATGGTTGATAAAACAGCTTTCGCTAACGAGAAGAATGACAGATCAACTAAAAGACCAAACGCGAATCAATGAGCCAGAGTTCAGTCAGCCTTTGTGCACCGCGCTCCAGATAGCCCTCGTCGAACTGTTGGCAACTCTCAACATCTTCCCCGATGTTGTAGTTGGGCATTCGTCGGGAGAGGTCGCGGCAGCTTATGCCGTTGGAGCCCTCTCCCTTCGTGCTGCCTGCATAGTCGCTTACCACAGAGGCCGTCTCGCCAGGGAGGTCGCTTCAGCATCGCTACTGAAGCCTGGTGCGATGATGTCCGTGAATCTCGCGGAACACGAGGCTGAGTCCTACTTGGCAAAGCAATCACTGCCAGGAAACGTTTCCGTTGCGTGCATCAACAGCCCCGGCAACGTCACGCTCTCCGGCGACGAGGCCGCCATTGATCAGGTGCAGGCAGAGCTCGACAAGGATGGCGTCTTCGCAAGAAAGCTCAAGACGGGTGTGGCCTACCACTCGCCTGCTATGCTTCAGGTCGCAGATGAGTACCGATCCAGCATGGGTCATCTCGAGGCACGAGAGTTGCAGCACGGTGGTAACCCCTTTATGGTGTCAAGCGTCACATCTCAAAAGGTTACTCCGATCACCCTGCTGGATCCCCAATATTGGGTCGACAACTTGGTGTCACCCGTACGATTCGCCGATGCGTTGCAATACATTGTTCACGCAGCGCCTAAGTTGGATGGCTTGAAGCCCATCACCAACTATCTCGAGATCGGACCCCACGCAGCATTGCAGCGACCCGTACGCGACTCACTGGCTCACGCGGGCAACAGCACGGCCAAATACGGGTCAGTTTTGTCGAGGCAGGAACCACCCTCGAAAACCCTTATGCAGCTGGTTGGCCAGCTGTTCGCCAGTGGGTATCGTGTCTCAATCACAGCGGCCAACCAACAGGATGGAGCCTTTCCGGATGCCAAGCTCGTAGTAGACACTCCTCAGTACCCATTTGATAAGACACTGACGTACTGGCATGAACCTAGAGTCACTCGTGATTGGCGACTTCGTGAAGGCTCTCCGAATACCCTCCTGGGCTTACGTGCAAGTGACTGGAACCCGTTGCAACCACGATGGAGGAAGATGCTCAGAGTTGAGGAAGTTGGCTGGGTGGCAGACCACGTCGTGGACAACGCCGTCGTTTTCCCTGCGGTTGGCTCAGTGGTGATGTCAATCGAAGCAGTGAGACAAACAGTTGGTGGAAGCCAACCCATCCGAGGCTACCATGTGAAGGAGGCCACATTCATGAGCCCCATCGTCGTCACACCGGGACAGACAACAGAGGTCATGACGCATCTCCGCTCACTGCAACAGACGTACGAGAGGTCCGCCACTCGATTCGAGATTGAGATATTCTCGTTTGCGGAGAACTACTGGAGAGCGTGCGCCAAATGCGTCGTCCATGTTGAATTTGCACAGGAAGCTCGCACCGAAGTTGATGGTGGTCAGGAGAACCAGATTCTCGCCGAGTCGCTGGCTCGTAGATACGACGAAGCCAAAGGCAACGCAAGGTTCAGCATCCCCAATGCCGATTTCTATCCCTGGCTTCAAGAGAACGGCTTCAAGTACGGGCCGACTTTCTCCCTTGCTGATCAGGTTTGCTGGGACGGGGCTGACCTTGCCATTGCCGAAGTGAACGTCGGGGCCCCAGTTGACTCGTTCAAGGAGGGCGTTGTCCATCCTGGAATTCTCGATTCCTGCTTACAGATCTGCCCGATCCCACCATCTGATGGAATGTCCCTGAATATCCCGACTTCCGTCCCTCATCAGATCAAGGACGCCTGGATTGCGGAGGCCGGGTGGCTTAACCCATCCACGGAACGGGTCAAGGTCTTGACAGAGGCAAAGCTCAAACCGATTGGCGCTGGTATGGACTGCGAAGTTTCTATATTATCAGAAACTGGTGGACTTCTTTGCCATATCAAGTGGCTGGAAATGTCGCCGCTCATGGCCAGTGAACTCGGTGCTACTAGCGCAAGGAAGTTGCTACATCACCTTGATTGGAAGCCTCATACGGCGTTGCCTGCTCTTGAACATCCCAATAGTTCTTTCACCAATTGTTCTTTAGCTAATGGAAAGACGCCAGAGAAGGAAGACACGGCGGTCTATGACAGGTCAAAGCTTGAACAGACTCTGAGGTCCGTCGCAAAGAAGAGCATTGCTAACCTGGGGGATATCGATTGGGAGAAAGCTCCAAGCCACATGAAGAAGTATATCTCCTGGATAGAGCGTCAAGTTCATCAAGAGACAAACGGGGAAGTTCCTGAAGTGGGTGATCTCACGAGCAAAGTGGAAGACCTGGTCATAAAACAACCGTCATGGAAAGTGTTTGCGGACATCGCAAAGAACTTTGCCTCCATAATTCGCGGAGAATCACACGATACCGACCTGTCCATTTCTGCGACCTCGTTCCAGGATTATCTTGACGAAGCGGTGGCTGCAGTCTTGAACCATGATGTCGAGTCCCATCTTGAACTGTTAGCTCACCAGAAGCCGACTCAGAGGTTCCTTGAGCTTGGCGCCCGTAGGGGTGCTCTCACGCATTATGTCTTATCAGTGTTACAGGGAATTGAAGCTCGCACGGGCGGAATAGCGTTCTCTGAGTACACCTATTCGGAGTCCTCCACTGAGCTTCTTGAAGAAGCTAAAAAGCGATTTGCTGAGTATCAGCACCGCCTGGATTTCACGAGCCTCGATGTTAACAAGGACCTGATCACGCAAGGGCTGCAGCCTGCGAGTTACGATGTGATTTTCGCATCAGACGTCATAAGGGGAGCTAAGGATGCTTCAGGCGTTCTTCAGAACCTCCGAAAGGTGCTTGCACCTGGTGGTCAGCTCTTCCTTTACGAGAGCACTGCCTCTGGCCGGTTCGAGATTGGCTTCGGCTTTGCCGCCGCCGCAGATTGGTGGATGGGCCATGAAGACGAGCAGGACTGGGATTGGACGATAGCTCTCGCTCAATTGGATGCGGCGTTGAAGGAGAATGGATTCTCAGGCGCCGACCTGGTCATCAAGGATAGCCTCGTGGTGTCGAGGGAAGCGTCTCAGCTCAGCCTTCCACTTACTGGTACTACGGTCTTTGTCGTGGTCGATGACGACGAGTTCCAAAAGTCACTTGCAGACAGTATCGTACAGGCCGCTAGGTGGAACTCCCGAGTTCTCACTCTCAAAGAGGTGGCAGACCAGAAGCTCGAGTCAGGAGATTATGTCATCTGTCTCGCGGACGTCTACAAGCCATTCCTGCACCCTATGAAGCAGGAGACTCTGAACCTCGTTCGAGAATGGGTGCGACAATCAACAAATCTGTTCTGGGTTACTGCGTACGATGCAGAGGCCACTGATCTTCCCTCGTCTTATGTCTACGCGGGGATCAAGGACGGATTTCTCCGTGCGTTACGCTCTGAGTATGCTCTGAATCGTATCGTCTCCGTCACTGTTGGTGACAACAGTCGTGATGTCCCCGCATGCGCCAAATACGTGGCTAGTATCTTTGCATCCGCGTTTGGCGGACTCGCTTCCGATGACGAGTACATTGTGAAGAACGGCCAAGTCTTGACGGGACGACTCGTTGATGATATCAACACCAACAAGGATCTGACATTGTCTATCGAACCAGAAGGCATCGCTGAGTCGTGGTTACCAGGCCCGCCACTGAGGCTGGCTATCCGAACTCGCAGACAACTTGAGACTCTGCAGTTCAAAGAAGATCTTGCCTACTTCGATGAGCTGCGCCCAACAGACGTCGAGATCGAAGCCAAGGTATGGGGCGTCGGCTTCCGTGACGTGTTTGTTGCCCTCGGCCGTCTGGACGAAGACGATTTTGGTGCAGACTGCGCAGGTGTTGTAACAAGAGTAGGAGCCGAGGTCACATCATTCAAAGCCGGGGACCGTGTCTGCATGCAGACGGTCGACGGTATGAGGACCTACCCCAGATCTCACGAATGGACGACGGCCAAGATCGCAGACAATGTCTCGTTCGAAGACGCTTGCGCCATCATTATCCCTGGTATGACCTCGCTGCAGGGTCTCATCGAGGTTGCACGCCTGGAGCAAGACGAGAAGGTCTTGATTCATTCAGCTTCTGGCGGCACAGGTCAGCTGGCCGTCCAGGTAGCTCAGTGGGCTGGGGCAGAGGTCTTTGCGACTGTGGGATACGACCACAAGAAGCAGCTGCTGATGGACGAGTATGGCATCCCTGCTGACCACATCTTCTACAGTAGAGACACCAGTTTTGCTCAAGGCATCAAGAGAATCACCAATGGCTACGGTGTCGATGTTGTTCTAAACTCCCTGGCAGGTGAACCTCTACGTGCTTCTTGGGAGTGCATTGCCCCATACGGTAGAATGATCGAGATCGGCAAGGCTGATATCAATGCTAACTCATCACTACCGATGGGAGGGTTCAAGAAGAACTGCCTGTATGCAGGTGTTGACCTTCACCACATAGTAAAGGATATAAACAAGAAGCGTCTGGCTAAGAGGCTTCTGCAAAAGGCGATGGATCTGGCCAGCGAAGGAAGTGTCCGAGCACCAAGTCCTCTCCACGTATACAATGTGGATAAGGTGGAAGATGCTTTCCGCTATCTTGCGAGCGGGAAGAATACAGGTCGTATTGTAATCCGGGTTGATTCGTCAACAGTTGTTGAGGTAAGAGATGAGACGCAGTTGATATCTAAGACGAGAAGAATGACTGCTCACATCGTTTTAGAAACAAATAATAAAGCGAAGAACTTGGACATTTGATGAGAATGCCACATACCTTGTAGCTGGTGGTCTCGGTGGTATTGGTCGTTCGATACTTCGGTGGATGGTCACGCGAGGGGCGAAACACTTGCTCGTTCCATCGAGATCTGGTGCTGCCTCTTCCGCAGCTTCTGAGCTCGTGCGCGAGCTTTCCGAGCAGAACGTTGCGATTTCGACACCGAAATGCGATTTATCTTCAAAAGAGTCTCTCGCGCGTATGCTTGAGGAGTCTGCTGCGACTCTACCCCCAATCAAAGGGTGCCTCGTTGCGACGATGGTCCTCAATGTAAGAAACGAAACAAATCTTCATCTTCATGATCGTATTCTGGATATAAACATGATTGCTGATTTACCTCTAGGATTGTATGTTTGAAAATATGACTCTGACGCAATGGGAGGAGACATCGCGCTCTAAAGTTGACTCTTCTTGGAATCTTCACGCATTGCTTCCTGAGTTGGATTTCTTCATACTGCTCTCATCCGTCTCGGGTGTGGTCGGAAACCCAGGCCAGAGTAACTATGCAGCAGGATGTACATTCCAGGATGCACTGGCACGATATAGAAGCCAGCAAGGCCAGAAAGCCATCTCCATCGATCTCGGTGTGATGCGCAGCATCGGCATCGTTGCCGAGAGTGAGAAGCTTCAGAAGCATTTCCAGGGTTCGAAGGGTTTCATCCAGATCGAGGAAGCCGAGTTCCTGTCACTTCTCAACATCTGCTGCGACCCGTCGTACCAACCTGGCGAGCATCATTGCCAGATGGTGATGGGCCTCGAGACCCCTGCCAGCCTTCTCGCACGCTCCATCGAGCCACCTGAGGTCTTGCAGAGGCCGCTGTTTGCCCGCTTTAGTCAACTCCCAGGCAGGTCCGCCAGCAGCAGCGACGGAACTGCCGTAGACGCAGGGCAGCTCTTCCGCCAGGCCGAGACGATGGCCGAACGTGCCCAGGTGGTTGTCGAGGCCCTCTCCAAGAGATTGGCGCGGACACTGACCATCAAGATCGAGGACGTCGACACGCACCAGGCCCTCCATGCGTATGGCGTTGACTCGCTAATTGCTGTCGAGTTTAGGACCTGGCTCGGCAAAGAGTTTTTAGCCGATGTTCCTGTTTTTGAGATTGTTAGTGGAAAGACGATTGAATCTGTGGGTGATCTTGTGGCCAAGACGAGTAGGATCGAGATCAAAGCGTAGACTCTAAGTAGCTTGGAAAATGTGGCAGAAAGGTCTTGATCCCATCTGTTTTCATGACCACTGTACATCAGTATATACTGGCAGCCCAGGCGATTATGCACATTAGGTTAAATATATGGAATTTGTTTAGATTCATGTACCTCATTATAATTTCCTCGAATGGTCAAGGTCCTTGCAAGTTTCCCAGGCTAAAGGACGTAGACAAAAGGCCCTAGATCCTCTACAAAAGATAGCAAATTCCTTGAATCATGAGCACTGAGCTATATAGTACCTCGATCCGCTGCCTATGATCCCACAAGAATAATCTCCTTCTCTATTAGTGGAAGTACCTCATTAGTTGATGGCCTTCCGTGGGCTCGGCTACTGTCAAGTGGCAAACCCTGATAGTCATCAAGATGAAATTGCTGACTTTCTCTAATCAAGAACTTTAACAGATTTCTACATTAACTTCGCTCTTTATTGAGCTTAATGTTCTCAATGAACTTTAATTTTGACATGCAATTCTATATGTCCTAATGGTGTTCATATCTTGAGTTTTTTCTTTTTTTCATTTGACCTACCACTGGAAGATAAATGGAAAGCCCTCCCTTCCGCTTGATCATACTTCCTGCAAACATGCAACATTCTGATTCATCGCGTCTTCTCTTCTACATCTACACGCCCACAGCCACACACTCGTCCAAACATCTCAATCGGTCAAACCACACATCTTATCTTTGTCATATCAAAGCACAATAACGTGGGCTGTGTCGATTAGAGCCATGACGAAATCCACAACCAATGCCCAGGGGATACTCGAAGAGCATCTTGGCACAAGCCACTACTACAAGATTGTCACAAGGGTAGTGAAGAAACCGTGTGAAAACACCATTGCTCATTGCGAAGATCTCCACCACACAAGGGCTTGTGATGAGCACTGGAAGTTGTTAGAAGAACGCTTATGCCCCTGCTTCGTATGTCTTTTCGACCAGGGGTTCATGTATGAATCAGAGCGAGAATTGGATTTGCAGTCTACAGCTAGGAGTGAGCCCGTTCCCAAAACAGAAGAACAACGGAATGGGAAGGCTGAAGGGAGAAGAGAGGCGGGCAGAGAAGAAAAGAAAACAACGCAGCGACATCTCGACCCAGAAACAGGACTTCCATGAACTGTTTAATCAGCAACTCAGATGGACAGAAAAATGTTCTGTTTGCAAAGTGTCGTCAAATCTACCCCGCTAAAGCTGAAAAGTCGTTTAGCCAGAAGTAGCATTGCAATATTAGCTTGTGCTACTGCTCGATTTAGATCAATACGACTTGATGGACCGCACCCCACACAGACGTTTTCTTTCAAGGGCTAATGGTACTGAGCGGATGTTGTGTTGATATTTCATCAGCTTATTAATGAGGAGAATGAGGAGGTTGGTGGTTGACTGCCTAAGTAGAGTCGCACCTACTCGGCTGTGTTTCTCAGACTGCCATTGACTCGATTTCATAATGATCACTTCGGTTGACATTGGGCAAGAGGAGTCGTTTGCCATTCTAGGTGTATCCTTCAGCTTGGAGCGTGACGTGAACTTTGTGCTCGGCTGAACAAATGTGGAAGAACATATGATTCTACTGCTAGTGTAAATTCGATGGCTAATCGAGGAAGCGCCCAAATGATAGCCCGTCGTAAGGCATCTTGCAAGGCCAAGAGCCACGATGAGCAGAACGTGGGTTTTGCGGTGGGATGACAAGGCTGCCAAACAACCCCGCAGAAATATGGAACCCTCTGTTAGAACCAAGATATGTCGAAGATATGGTCAGTCTAATCAAGATACGAAGATATGCTTGATCTAATCAAAGATTTGGAGATATGGTCGGTCTTGGCTGGTCCCTTTGGCGGAGTCTGGGGTCATGGTACTAGACTGATAATAGCAACGAACCCACTTGGTCGCTTGTTTTACCCAATCTATACCTCTGAGAATTGATCCGCTCGCATAGGATTGCCTAGGTTAATGGTACAAAGAGCTAAGCCGTGGTGACTTCCCTCTTATCTCTCAACCTACCGGTATCGGCGAACCGACGAGAAAGGACGCATGTAGCTCCGGAGACTGATTTCCTATCACCTACCAGTTGTGGGTTATCATCAAGAAGGAACCGCCTTTAATTTTTTTTAATAATGTCTGGCCTCTCCCTTCTTAATCTACACCCTGGCAAAACCAGTATGTTGAATGCGATGAAGAACATTGGAACTTCATGATAACTATGGAAGCTCTCAAACATCACGTTGTCTATCTCGAGGCGGGTTCCCTTCCCCCTCGCGAGTTGCAATTCCCTCACACCAAGACGGCCCATGCTCAAACTTTGCCTCATCAGGTTGCGGAGCGCATCAAGGATGCGACTATCGTGATCACCTCGGTGGTGCCGATAACGAAGGAAGATCTCAGCCAGGCGCCACTCCTCGAGTGTGTCTCCATCACAGCGACTGGGTGTGAATGGCTGGACCGAGAGGCATTTGCCAGCCGTGGAGTCACCGTGGTGAATTGCCCACAAAGCAATGTCGAGGCGGTGGGGGAGCATTTCCTCGCACTTTACTTTTCATCCCGCAAGAAGATTGTGGAGATACATGGCGCTGTCACCGGGCGGAGTCGGGAATGGGTGAAGAGCAGGGGTCTCATGTCGCGGTGGAAGCAAGGTCCTCCGTTGAGCTGCCGAGAAGAGACACTGGGAATCATCGGGTATGGTGGTCTGGGGAGCAATATCAAAAAGCTAGCTACGGCTGTTGGTTTTGGCGAGGTGATTATCGCTGAGCGAAAGGGGGCGAGCACGGCACGAGAGGGAAGAGTGTTGTTCGAGGACATGATCAAGCGTGCCACAACCATCGTGGTTTGCTGCCCAAAGGATGCATCAACCACAGGTCTGATCTCCGAGCCCGAGTTCTCAATGATGAAGCCCGAGGCTCTCCTTATCAATATATCACGGGGTGGTGTGGTTTGTGAGAAGGCGCTGGCACAGGCCCTGCGTAATGAAATCATCTTTGGAGCCGCCACAGACGTGCTGGAGACAGAGCCTGGCGGCCGAGGCACAACTCCTCTGATTCCCGACTCTGATGATCCGAGTCAGGCTATACCAAATTTGACTATCACGAGCCATCTTGCTTGGTTTTCTCAGACAACAATAGACAACCTCTACCGGATGCTCAAGGAAGGAGTAGAGGGATTTGTGGCCGGGAGTATTCTAGACGACCAGACGAAGCGGTTGGTTGTGACTCATAAAGGCCAAATCTTCAAGTAAAAAGATAATATAGATCGCTCATTGCAATGTTCGCCAACCAGTCAGCCCCTGCTCACGAATTTTCCCTTACAAACATTAAGGCGGCCTCGTTGCGCCCATCGCCCTGTCCCATGGAGTGTACTCATTGCCAGACACAAATTCCTCCTCTGTGCGAAATGTTTTTGTATAAATAATCCCATCACCGCCGTAACCCGTTTTCCATTACTTTGCGCTCTGATAGGCCACCGCATTCAGCTTTGCTAGGCGGACCTGACTTCCTTCATTGTATGCTGAATTGCTACTAATAATTATTTGCCCATCATGAGATGCGACTCTGCGGACTCGCTCCTTTGTAACTTGTACCATTACACTCACCATTCTTTTTCGCCCGCCAAGTCGCCATCGTTCAATAGTACAATATTGGCACTTCATTTCTTCACTTCGGGGAGGGGGGCCTTTCACCCACAGCTATTCAAGTTGGGGGCAGGTATGTGACATGACGTCTGCCAATACTGAAGGTTAATCACAACACATCGGTGGACTTGGCACTATCCGTAATGATTTTGCAACAAGGTTGGTATGGGCGGGCGGCTGCGTTGCCTATCTAGCTAGCCGTAGGTTTGGGATGCACATCCCTGGAAGTTCTTGATGTTCTCGTGCTCCGTGTAGCATGTCCGCATGCACGGCTAGGGACATTGACATAGGATCGGCGAAAGTATTATTAAGATTCGCTTTTAACCTTAAAACAGTCTCACAATGGCAATCTTTACCTCTTCGCCCGGCTGAATACGAGCTGAGGAGACCAAGCGTGCCAGCCATTATTAAGTACAATCTTGTTTGTTCTAGCCAGATGAATACCAATGGCCGATGCGGTACAGGTGTAGCAAGGCTGCGGTAGCTAGTTATGAGCCTTTACCAGGCTTGGCCCGGCCTGTTCGCCTAGCATAAGTGGTGATGTAAATAGGTAGTGGGTTGCTGCACGTGAACATGTGTATCATGGCTTGGCGTCTCACAAAAGGATCTTGCTGCATCCAGAAGTTCTCTCTGATGATTCATTATACGTGTAAGTTGTACAGCTCATATATGTAGGCCAGGCGGAAGATAGTATCATGCATCTTCACCGGTTCTCAAATACAACTTTACCGCTGCAACGCGCACTCTTGGCGAGCTTCTATTGCTTGTCTTGCATCCGGGCATTCCTCAGTTGGGCGTCGTTGGAGGCCACGGGCCAAGTGATTGGCTGGGCTCAACTTTAATATTGTGGTTGGCATGCATACGCTTACGCGTAACTCCCTTGCAGTTGATCTCCTCTCTTCCCCATAGTTCACAACTCAATATCAACACATTTTTGCGTCTTGGCTTCTACCACAGACATCAGCTGACCACCGCTGCATTTGGGGGGATTTCCTTTGGATCGTGATTTCAAACCATTGTCTTACAGCTTTCATCTACTCAGCATGATGCACGCGTAAGATAGCCCTATGTCACATACCTGTTGTCAGTGAACCGAGTACAAGTATCCAGTCAATTCTCCCTATGTCGTTGTCTGTAATATCCTCTTCATCTACATTCTTGACCTCCTCATCCAATTCCACCAAACGCCTTCAACATGCTCTATACTTCCTTTGTTGCTAAGGCACTGGCCGCCTTCTCCATTCTGACTGTCCCAGTTTTGGCCGGGACTGTCAACATGCCCTCTGAGCTAGACGCTTGGAGCGCAGCTAAAGATGTCGATATCAAGTGGTGGACTACCTTGGAATGCAGAAGATCAGAGCATGCCAATGGATACAATAGCGGCGACTGTCTCAACGTCGAGCAGAGAACAGCTGCTAGCATGCAAAGAAGAAAACAGAACAGCTGCAAGAGTAAGCTAACAGCTCCCACAGATTTTGAGACTTTCTTGGCCCTACTAACTCCGAATTTCTGTTTTAGTGATCAGATATGAGGGCAAAAAGTGCACGGGCTATTCAGAACAAGGACTAAATCTCCACGATTGCTTCAGCGTTAAAGGAAGCAGGTGGAAGTCTCTCAAGGTTCAGTGCTAGTTGGACCTCAATTTCTCGTACTTGACTGTTGCTTGAGCCAGTATATACCACATTCCTACCTACAGTTTTTTACCCCACCCTCGCTAGGTACGGTTTTCTGTAAAAGATATAGGAAGCAAGACGCTGATTTTGAGGATTAATAAATTAAAATAACCTGATCTTGGGATATCCCCCTTGTATACGGCGAAAACCACAAAAAGAAATAAAAAAAACTTAACTTACTACATAATATTGCATGTCTCTTTTGAAAGTCGGCAATGTTAATAACTCATCTAGCATAATTAGATATCGGTTGGTTCATATGTATATGTGAGCAAGGCCCGCCGTGCACCGAAATTGATTGTGATACCTACCATATTGGTTTCAGCGAGAAATTAATCATGATAAATCATCAAACAGTATGATGGCGCTTTGCAAGGACCATTTATGTGCGTGCGTGTGTGTGTGTTTGTGTTTTGTATCTGTTTAATGTCGGTAGATCCTTTACTGAGGCAAAGAGCGCCCATCAAATTACCCAAATACTTGTACAAAGATGAGTGGTTGGGGTTCCCAATATTGGACTGGTGTAGATATCTCTTCCCCCTTCCTAGTTATAGCCTACTTTCTCGAATATAACGCATAGAATGTTCTTGTCATCTTCACCAAGAGACCCTGAATTTTCGAAGTTGTCAAGGAAGCCGAGAGAAACAAGGAGAGAGGCTGGGTATAGGGTAGCCCATGCATGTACCTTGGCAGCGAGGTTGCAAGCAGTGCGGTCGATAATCACGCAGTGGTTCGCATTTCGCCTTATTCTTCTGATGAACTTCGCACCCTACGGTCAACAGCTGATATTATCATTATGGCACATCTTTGTGTCATTTGCCGAAATATATCATTTCAGTCGCTGGCTAAGCTCAGCCTCAAATTACACCCGACTGTGGAATTCGGAGGCACTTCTCATGCCCCAGCAAAGGACTGGTCGACCAATACATACTATTTGCACTATCCGACGAGACAGCAATTAGAAGAAAGCAAGAAAACCTGCCATTTATGCGCCTTACTATCCGAATCGCTACACATCGAATCCATAGCGAGGCCCAACTTTCTCGACTGTGGTCCTGAGCAGATCTTCATTACCTTGAAAAGCGGCATCCCCCACACAAAGGATCCAAAACTGGCGGAGCATATCATCACGGTCTGGGCTAACCAGGATAGCGGGGATGTTCTTGCAAAAGTGTATCAGCAAGGTAGGCCTATGGAGGTGGCGTATTTCTCTAGATGCAAACCACTGACTTCCCTTTAGGTTCTTCTGAACCCGCTGAGTGGTCCAAAATGTATGATCCTCTTCGACCTAAGGAAAAAAACAATACGACTGGTTCCCCAAATATGATTCGGCTGGCCAAAAATTGGTTGCAAATTTGCCGCGATACGCATTCCTGCCAATCAAATGATGACAAACCCCCTCTCCTACCAACACGAGTGGTTGATGTCGGACTCAAAGACGATGACGCTCCTCGAATTCATACCGCCGAACCTGGACAGCGACATCACTACATCACTCTCAGTTACTGCTGGGGAGATCAGAGAAAAATCGAATTTCTCAAATCGCTTAAGGAAAACATTGTCCAGCATACTCGTTCGCTACCTACAACTCTCCATGCAACCCTTCGAGATGCCCTCAATTGTACTCGTGCTCTTGGGTTCCGATATATTTGGATAGATGCATTATGCATCATCCAGGATGATAAAGCAGATGTCGGAAGAGAAATCAGTCAAATGGGCCACATTTACCGGAATTCCTCACTCACCATTGGCGCAGGCAACGGGAGCGACGTGACCAGCGGTCTATTTGTCGAACGTGACAGCTTTCTCTTCAGACCGTGCTTCCTCACGATGCGCCTAAATGGGCAGGAACACCGTGCCTATATCCACCGATTCCCTCACCAGTATCTTATTCCGTTGGAGACAAGGCTGTGGGTGGTCCAGGAGCAGATTTTGTCACAAAGGACGTTGGTATTTTTATCCGATCACGTCGAGTGGAGATGTAAGGAAGCTCACATCCCAGAAAACATCCCATCGGGATTCCTCTCAAGACGACTAGGCTCGAACATCAGTGACCTTCAGGCCGTCATTGGCCAGTCTACCCGAGGGGACATGCGCTTCCCCTATGATCAATGGTATACGGCCGTGAGTGCTTTATCTGCCCGTAATGCAACATTCCTCACCGATCAGCTGCCCGCCATGGCTGGAGTGGCTTCGCTCCTCCACGAAACATTTGGGTTGATGGACCCAGCCAAATATGTGGCGGGCTTATGGAAGGAGGACATCATCGCAGGCTTGATTTGGCTTAGGAGACGAGCGCTACCTTCACAAAGGACAAGGGATGATGCCTATATTGCCCCAAGTTGGTCTTGGGCAGCCAATCCTGTTGGAACAGTATATTTTCCAACAGCACAGAGATGGGGACGTGGACCGAAATGGGACCTTCGGCAGCTTGAGCAAATGGTGGCTGTTCAGACAATCAACATAAAACCGGAGAATGTTGCTGATAACCCATTTGGCAAAGTTAGCCCAGGAGGATGTATCAAGATAACTGGAAAACTGAGAGAAGCCGTCACTCTCCCTATCACGAAAGAGTATAGTTTCGAACATGGATTGAGGGCTTTGTATACCGGTGGAAACGGTTCTATTGCTGGTGTCTTTGACACAGGAAATGGAAGTGAAGATCCGCAAATCGTTGGTCTGGTGAGCTTCGACAGCCTCGAAGAGAGAGAGGCTCTTCCCAAGATAGAGTGTTTGCCGATATTGAAGTTTCCGAGCGGCTACTCCTCCGAAGAGTCTCCTTGTACGATGATTTGCCTGGCACTGAAGAAGGTGAACGGCCAATATCAACGGGTTGGTCTTATCGGTCTCTTTAGAATGCATAGAATTGTGGAGATTAGAGATGGCTTAGATCGGGAGGACATTTGGGATTATACGCCTGATGATATCTACTGGGACGACGAAACCTGGGACGAAACTCCAGAGAAAACGATTTCAATTTTCTGATCACAAATAGAAGAATAATCTTTTATGCATTTTGTTAGTTAATGCGTTATGTTACTGGGTATGATGTTAAATTATTAACTCTTCGTTTCGTATTTGGGAATCCTGCCCCCTTCTTTTTTCCAGCAACTACCGCATAATTGGATAGCTCTCTCACTTACTATAGATTTTGTGAAAAATCGGTGATCGTGCAAGTTTCATGGCACATACGAAGGTTTATCTACATGTTAAGAGTGCCGGATGAGGGTCGTCGATATGCTACACAACGTGAAATGACGAGGCGCAATATGCATCACCCAGGATGATGAACCTCAATCATGTTGGGCAACAGGGTGCTCCTAAAATAAACCCTTGCATGGCTTCAAAAGTAGTTGGTCGGAAGTACCCACGAGGCGGACTCTTGGAAGGATGGCAACCAACAAGTATTTGTGGCCACAAGTAATTGGCTGCTGACTATGAAAAGTCTGACATGTCAAGTGGGCTATGCGCGCTTAATAACTCATTAATGAGAGTCAAGAACCTGATTCCTCCCGCCCACATACTTCGGATCTCTCTCCTTTGTCTTTGACTGCTTAGCTGATCATCGAATACGCAGCCTAGTACCAAAAGCACATCAACGCCCACAATGGAACCTGCCTCGCTCTTGAACATACCAACTGAGATCCAAACGAAGATCTTTTTATATCTTGTGACGCCATTTGGTCCAACTAGCAACATACAAGCAGTCCTAAGAACCTGCCGACAGCTCTATGAGGTGGCACTTCCGGTGTCTGTCAGCGTTTTCCGGAATACACCATCATATCCCAAGGATCAAGGCCCGTGTTCTCGCGCTCGCAACATCAAGTTCTTGCGTCTCATTCTTATCAATAAGCCCTGGCTGGCTAAGCATGTCGGCACCGTCATTTTTGGCAGATTTTCAACCCTTGAGGGACAAACGAAATACCCCGAAAATTGGGTAAACGACCCGTGTCCAGTCTCTGATTATGAGCTTGGCATCTTCCAACACCACATTGAGTACATCCTGGGCCAGTTACCTACTACTCTTGAATGGTCTCATCAGTGGACATATGACCTTCAGGTTGGTAGTTCTGATGCGCAAGTGGTCTTGATTTTGCTAGTCTGCCCGAATATCCGAACGCTACTCTATGAAATGCCTAGAATGTCCTATCACCTCGGTCGTTTATTTAATTTCACACGGATTATGGCCAATTCCTCGTACTACTTTGGATCTGAGTGGATTAATAAAGAATACTCGGAGATGACTGTTCCGCTCCGAAATCTTCAAGATGTCTACCATGAGATATTAGATGAAGAGGTATATCAACCTTTCTCTAATGAAACCTCGTGTCTATTTGGTTTTCCTAAACTTCGTTTTTATGAATGCATCGGCAGTCAAGCAACTTATCATGCAGCTGAGGGATTTATGGAGATGGAACCGAGATCTTCCTCAGTCGAAGAGATAGTTTTGCATTGGTCTTGGTCTACAGCGAAGTTTCTTCAGAATATGCTAGGGGCTTGTAGAGCGCTCAAAAAGCTCGAATTCTCTCATCGCTCGACAAGTTCATCAGCCAATATGATGATGCCTCGAGACATTCTTGATGCAATCTCACCCCATGCAAATACATTTGAGCACCTCTACCTGAATTTAGAGGACAATCTTGATAAGAAATGGGATTGGACTAGTCAGCCAGAGAGGTTATACATGGGGACCGGGCTGCGTCATATGCATGCTTTGAAAAGGCTTACAATTGGAATGCAAGAACTTACCGGGATGCTTGCATCTAAGCCTTGGAACAGCGATCAGATCGAAGCCACCCACCAAGTCCCGCTCAGGGTTGAAGGAGCCCCTAGAATTGTTGATTGTTTACCTGATAATCTGGAGTATCTGATGATACATTCATGTGGTGGGAAGCCAATCATCGACCAGATTCAGGAGTTGGTTCATGCCATCGCACAAGGCCATCGGCTTAATAACCTGCGCTATCTAGGAATGATCTTCCACGACTGGAGATCTGATTTCGATGAGGTCACCGATTACTTGGAAGAATTCCCGGACTTTGAGAAAGACATGCAAATCATCGAAATTCAAAAGGGTGTACGGGTGGATATTGGTAAGCAGAGCATCACTGGATACCACCATGACTTGTTATCAACCTTCCGAGAGTCCTCCGATCGGCCAAGTAATATCATGTCTCGAATTTATGCTCCAAACTACCGGGACCTTTACCTGGAACGAAGGATGAATCCTCGATACATGGATGGCGAATACGGGTATGAGGGTGTTCTTAATCCATTCGAACAGTAGACTTTATACGGCCAACCTTCTTTCTTTAAACGAGCGTCGTGATGACGCCACACGGTCATAATTTTTTATACTTTCATTCTCAGAATAAGGAAATAAATTGTCTTGGACATGTAGCATCTTCATTTCCTCAGGGCTAAATACAGAGTATGAATCCAATTGATGTTCGTAACATCAGCCGAGAATTTGTTCCAAAGCCACTTTATGGGGAGTAAGATTAAGCATCACCTGGCCAGCCAGGTTTATAGTCCAGTCCCGATGCCTGAGCTTAGAGCGGGAGGTATCCAAGATCCGCCATGTCCCCCTTTCGATCCTCTTTTAGATTCAATCGTAGTGTTCAGTATGTCTTGCACGCATGGGTAACCCAATTCGACAAGTTGTAACAGAGGCGAGCGAAGTTAATCGAATACGGCTTCGACAATGTATTCAACGAGTGCGCCAATACCATGCATGAAAATCAATTCATGTATCCAGCCCAGGAGCATGGTAGTAAGCATCACCCAAGTCCAGACGGCAACGAATCCTACAACTCCGCATACCACCAATACCGTGAGGCCAACGCAAAACATGATGAAAGTCATAATAAACATCGACAGAAATAGAGAAAGGACCGACGCAGACCAGTTTTGATTCATTTTGGGTAGTGATATTTAGCTATGATTGGTTGGTTATGATCTGCGGTTTATCAGTTCTTGGTGGTGTTGGACTTCGACTCTCGTGATTATCAATTCCGAACTGGAGGATGAAAGGTTTGGTTCGCTCCTTAAGTAGTACTTTGCATTCGTTTCTAAACCTTATCCCTTGTTCAATTATTGCTACTAGCAGTGAAGCTTATACGTTGCGACATTCTAATTCCTTTGTGTAATCCCTTCCTGGGGCGTGTGGTGGAGAGTTCCATGTTAGTCCCGCCGGAATGATAATTTTATTTGTACATTGGTTCTTTGTGTCTTCAGTCTTGTGTTGCTCAACAATGAAAGATTGTTTTGCATTCCATGTAAAAAGTCCCCTACTCTTAACTTCTAAGCAAACCTCGACAAGGTCTTCCAAGACCACTCAGTATTACTGCACATATGAATGAACGATCTCTATATCGCTGCCATGCTTGAGGACCAACTCAATGCAACTCATCATGGCTATCAAATTGTTGTTATGTATCTCTTATTCGAATAGTGAGGACCTTCTCTAAATAATATATCTCAGATACATGTGGAACTAACCTGACGTTTGTACACACTCATGGATTGAAAGGCAACTCACTAGCTCATAGAAACGGAGATATGTTTTATGGCGGGACGTAATGGATCTTCGTGCGTAGAGAGATAGTTATCATGATTGAGGGCCGGCTTGAAAAAGTTTCTTTGTTGCAGTTCACTGCACTGATTCGAATTCGAACAGCACCATTTCATGATACTAGAAATGGATGTGATTTGTTCTTGGAATCCTTACACCAAACTAGGCACCTCTGGCTGATTCTCCCTGAAAGCTGAAGCTAGGCCCTTTCAACTTCTGCGAATACCATCTTGTACGAGTGGCTTCATAGTTGAAAAGGCATATCTGGCAATTTTCCACGACCCCTCTTCCTTTTTCATGATGAACAGTTCTTGGTTTGCATGTGGCTCTGATTCCTGTGTTGCCAGCATCGTCTTCGTACCCTCTGCCGTTGTCCTCGCAAAGGCCCACTCGGGGGACATGACTACAACTTCGTCAATGCTAAAAGCAATAACCAGTTGTATTGACGAGAAGATCCTGGTGTAAGACTCCCGGAGTGCGCTTGTGCCTGCGCTGGCCGTGAAGTGCGGCGGCATTATGACACCATCAGATGTGTAAAGCGCGACGGCTTCCTCAACGTTACGGCTCTTGAGAGCGTTTCCGTACGCATGGAGAACGGATGTAATTGACTCAATCTCTGTATCAGACACTACAGGAAAGGGTTAGCTGATATTTATCCTGACCGGGTCAATGTTGGTTCGTTATGTTGGAGTTTGCTTACTGATGGCGCACTTGCAAGAAGGAACAGTATTTGTGAGGTTTATCTCGAGGAACGTAGTATTACGATTGACATAACATTATAGGCTTCCATTCCAGCCGAGTTACTTTTATATTGCTCCTTTGATCATTCGTAGGTGGGGGTGGATCACCTTCTCGGAAGTGGAGTGGTGATTGCTCGTATCTGAGCGCGAAGGTGGAGGAAGAATGTCTTGGGGGCTCAAGAGTGGGCTACACTAGTGCTTGTTCCGAGAGAAGTAACGGTGGTTCTGTTAGCTGAGATGAAAACAAGATTGAGCGTTTTTGTACTTTGTGGCCTATCTAGTGCCATCTTTATTTGACGAGGATACAATTCCTTCCCAGCTGCTGTACCTGCTCATTCGAAAACGAACAATGACCAGCATTCATGTCCATTCTCATTCGTGGCAAAACTCCTCCTATTAATAGAGCCTATGTTGGGGTGTTGGGGTCCGCAGTAGCAAATCAGTCATCCCGGAGAGCGCGGCAAGCGATCCCCTAAAACTCCGGGGTTTAAGACTACAAGAGAACGGCATTAGATCATAGTGTATGCTATAAACTCATAACTTCCGAGTATCAATCTTCCTCTGGCGGGCCAGCAAGCGGCAAAGCAAGAGGTTGCGCGACTTAGGACTTCAAGGCTGAAACCTAACGTATGTGTATTGCGTACTCTGGCAGCCTGATCGATGCAGCCCCATCTTATACCCAACAGATCCACTCTGTGTTCCTATGCAGCGCGGTTACATAAACACTGAGGTCAACCTCCGTCCTTGAGTTACTATTGTGCCTCTTTAAAATTGATTGACTCAAGCAGCCCTTCAAGATCCAGCATAGATATGTCAGATAAATTTGCAGCCGGGTCCGGCTCAGCCTCTGACCTGACCCAAATCGAGAAAGCCGCCAGAGGGAGGGAAATTACTGGTCTCGACATTTTTCGTCCTACTACGGATACGATGACGGCGGATAGGGTACAAACGCTGATGAGTATCATGCATGCGGATCAACCAACGGGAGGCGAGGATTTGAAGTACGGCACAGCTGACGCTCACCAGTTACGTTACTGGAAGGGTAAATCCCCCGACGCCCCGATCATTGTCTTCATCCACGGTGGCAGCTGGAGGGTAGGCTCACATCTGGACTCTATTGGATCCACCAAAGTCAGTCACTTTCTGGAGAAGGGCTATGCGTTTGCTACTGTAAACTACACCCTTTTCCCCATTGTGACGGTGACAGAACAGGTGCAGGAGGTGGCTAATTCCCTGGGATATTTGACCAGTAATGCAGCCAGGCTAGAGTTTGACCAGAGCCGCATTGTTCTGATGGGGCATAGCTCTGGTGCACATACAGTGACATTGCTGGGCACAGATACAAGTTATCTAGACCGGGCCGGAGTGGCTATCCATAACATCCGAGCAGTCATATCTTTGGACGGCTCAAATTATAACGCCATGGCGGAAGTCCTGGACAGCCCGGGTCCGGTCGCTGAGAACATGATAACAGGGCTCGGTAGAGACCCAGAAGTACTTCGCGCCATGTCTCCAACATACAATGCCCACGCGCCGAACGCGAACGCCTTTCTTCTACTTCATGCCGAGAGACAAGGGGACATTCGCCAGGCAGAGGAATTGAAAGTGGCATTGAATGCGGGAGGTAGCAGTGTCAATCTTCACGTGTTTGAGGGCGAGTCATTTGAGGGCCATATGCAAATGCTTCTCCGCCTCGGAGACAAGGAATATCCTGCCACGGCGGTTTTGGATAACTGGCTTCAGATTCATGCCCCAGTGTCTACGTAATAGTTTCTCAGATTTGGAAAGTCACCATATGTTTGTCTAGATACAATCAATCAAATTGCCATTTTACTACTCAAGTAACATTTGAAATGAATTACGGAGCCCAGTACCGCTTTATTGTTCGAATCTTTGCACCATAGAGTGTCAAACTATCCAGCATCTCTTTTACGGCTACAGGTTGCTCACCTTCACTCGGATCTCCCCCATCCCATCTGACGCAGGTCCTTGCATCTAAATATTTTCTAAAGTAGGAGCTACTACCAGGCCGTGCCTCATTCTGAAAACCGAACTATTTCAATTTGACCATGACACGGTCATCGTTCCGTATAGTGGCGTTACGCTGAGGAAGCTGCGAAGACAATTACAAATTAAGTTACCACTTGGATTCAGAGGGCGAGCCATCGGGTGAGACAATTATTACGGCTATCCCAATCTAAATGTTGCTTGTGATACTGAGCCTTTCAAGCAGCGTGGAGCAGACGAGTGGTGCTACCCTAAACAAGCGTCCATCTCACCACTCCAAATTAACAAAATGAATTTCGTCTGGCAACTGAAGCCGGCATACTAAACATACAAAAAAGGCTTCCTTATTGCATCGTTTGGAACTACATTGATCCAAAAAGTTCTCAAATACATAGCAAAGTCCTGCCGACAAATCATCGAGCAAACTCATGGAAGGAAGATCAAAGAGCCGTAATTGTCATGTCCATGTAGGTATGTAGATCTCATTAGATGAACCGAAAAGTACCGAGCACCCTAATCGAGAACAACTACCATACCTGAGCGTATGGATTACCCGATCCTTCCTCGGCCGACCAGCCGGATAGATTCATTGCTAAAATATCCGAGTGACGACACCAAGGCAAGGGGTCAACTCGTAAGAGACCAAGTGGACCCAATATTCGTTTAGGAAAGCGTAAATTCTCTGATTGGCCACTACTGTTCCTCGTTTCAATTAGCTCTGCCCCACTAGTGGATATGCGTGAGTGGGTGGATGGGCTCCTTGACGACAGAAAAGACGAAGCCCACCACATTTTGCAGAAACCTCTTCCGATGTCCATTTCATTTCATACTTTGAACCGGACTCACAGACTGGAAGTTTCGCTGATAACATCTCATTCCAATATACCCAAAGCTGTTGCAGCCTTTGCTTCTACGACCATGGGTAGAGAATACTGGTCCCTCGCCGGCCCATTTGGCCTCCCTATCCGAGTGGGAATTCGAATCACTCAATTTATCCTGGGCGTGGTTGTCCTGGGCTTGTTTGCTTCCGATTTCTCAGCAAGTGGGAGCAAGACAAACCACATTTACGCTGTTGTTGTCACCGTTATCTCGATCCTTACCGATATTACACACTGCATAGCCACAGTGAAACATGGCGCTTGGTTTCTTCTCGACTTCTGTATTGGCGTCTTGTGGGCTGCGCTCGCGGGGGTAACTGGAATGGTTGTTTTCAGGGATGGGACCAGAGAGAAAGCACACGAAGATGAGCCCCTGGAAGGCAGGAGGGCGACCCTTTTTACTGCTATAGCCGCATTGTCGCTCATTAGCATGTGTTTTTGGCTACTGAGCTGCTTACATGGGTGTGCTTGGTGTTGTGCACAACGAAGAAACAAGAAGAAGGATGACGTGGAGTTGATGGAGAGAGAGGGATCTGGAGAAATAAGCGGTTGAAGGACTTTGAAATTTTGGGAATATACATCTGAGTTAAGGTTATGAAAGTAGTAACCCCGGGGCAACAGTTATTGATACTACTTATTGAGTCTTCTTGCACCGAGTTCTTGGGGATCGAACTACTAGCTAAAGCCTCTACAAGATCTCCCTTTTTGCCAGGATAAGGATAGGAGCATGGCCAGGCTAAAAGGGGGGAAGCCGATCTGGGAAGAGGGAGGCTTAGGTGTAAGAGTCATTCAATGTGGTGCTAGCTATTTCGCTTGACGTATTAGCCGAGTAATAATAGATTTTGTCGGTACTACTCAGCCAAATACGGTCAGGGGCTAGACCCACTAGCAAAGGTAGAGGAGTAGATAAAAGGACGAGGCGTTGCTCTTCCGCGTCATTTGGTCTGGAGGTGCCGCTGGTAATTAATCTTTGGTATTTTATGTCGTTGTTCAAGCTTCCAAGAATACGCAATGGGCTCGGCAGAAGATTTAAAACAGACCAACTCCAGTGGCCAGGATGAGAATTCGCATCAGGCGCAGTCTTCCTGCCATCTACAGCAACCTCACCCTGACACTTGCCATACGGTGTCGCCTGATGATCCGCATATATTATCTGGACAGACAGATTTGAGCGATCCTCCATCATATAGCGCTCGAGAGAGTATACTTCCTCTCAACATTGTCATACAGGTTGTCGGGTCAAGGGGAGATGTACAGCCATTTGTGGCACTGGGTAGGGCGCTCCAGTTATTTGGGCACCGCGTGAGAATCGCGACACATGCCCAGTTTCAGGACTTCGTTAAGTCCTCTTCTCTCGAGTTCTTCGATATTGGTGGAGACCCGGCTGATCTGATGGCATTCATGGTCGAAACGCCGTCGATGATACCCACCTTGAAACAATTGCGAGCCGGGATTGTTCAAAGAAAGCGAGCCATGTACAAGGAAATGCTGAGCGGGTTCTGGAAGTCGTGTATCGAAGCCGACAGCGAGAGCAAGGTTCCATTTGTTGCCGACGCTATTATTGCGAATCCTCCAAGTTTTGCCCATGTCCATTGTGCGCAAGCGCTTGGAATACCGCTTCATCTCATGTTTACAATGCCATGGACAAGCACGAAAGAATTCGCCCACCCGCTAGCAAACATTACTGCAGCCGATCTAGATTCGAGAAAGGTAAATTATGCGTCATATGCTGCCATTGAGCTATTGACATGGCAAGGGTAAATCTCCTAGATGGATCAGGCCGGAAATCTTACATGAAGCTAACTGAGATTGACAGGCTTGGGGATTTGGTAAATGACTGGAGAGTTTCTTCTCTGGGATTAGAGCCTGTCCCTGGTATGGAAGGCCACCGACTTGCAGAAGCACTTGAGATCCCGTTTACATATTGCTGGTCACCATCACTAGTTCCGAAGCCTAGCGATTGGGGCTCTCATATAAGTATGGCTCCTTGATAAGTTCGTGAAAGGCTTTGCTAATACAAACAGATGTTGGCGGCTTTTTCTTTCGAGATGAACCTCTCTACTCCCCTCCTATGGAATTAGAGACATTCTTGAACAGTGGACCTCCGCCTATATATGTTGGGTTCGGCAGCATCGTGGCGAGTGGGAGCGAGGGCCTTTTGACCACAGTACTCAACGCAGCACGAGCTGTGAGGGTGAGAGTTGTCATTTCAAAAGGGTGGAGTAATCTGGGAGGCGAGAATTCTCCTGATGTATTCTTCATTGGTGATTGCCCTCATGAATGGCTATTTCCACGAATGGCAGCTGTGGTTCACCACGGCGGTGCAGGAACAACGGCATGTGGGTTGAGATACGGAAAGCCTACTACAATCATTCCATTTTTCGGAGAGTATGATCAACCCGTTGTAGGAGACTTATCTACAGCAACGCTGACTTATTCCCAGTCAACCGTTTTGGGGTAACGTGGTTGCAAAGGCCGGAGCTGGACCAGAGCCCATTCCATACCGATTCTTAACCTCACAAAACCTAACGCAGGCGCTGGAGTTTTGTCTTACACCAGGAGCGGTGGAAGCTGCTCGGCGCATCGCTGACTCTATCATTCGCGAAGACGGGGTGACTGCTGCGGTACAAGCATTTCACACACACTTACCGTTGGCCAGGATGAGATGTGATTTTCGACCAAAATTTACTGCCTCATTATGTTATGGGAAGGGCAAAAGAACAGTCAAGATGTGTAAGCAAGCAGCGGCGGTGCTGGCTAAAGAACAATGCCTGCCGGTTAAACATCTGGATCTGTAAGACTCTGCCTTTTCAAGTCTTACCACCTCCGTGCTCATGATGTACCAATAGATATCGGACCGCCCCAATCACAATAGACAGCCTCCGATGGGATCCGCTCACCGCACTCTCGGCGGCATCGCTGTCTGCAATATTCAGGATTGTCGGTGACACTGCTGATATTGTAATCAGGCCATTCAAAAATCATAAGACTAAAACAGAAGGAGTTGCAGAAGAGTTAGCACCAAAGAGGCACAGCATAGCGCCGTCTTTCGCGATGCTTCCCCTACCAGAATCTCCTGAATCGACACAACTAGCAGAGGCGATCGCAAGAGTTCCAAACACCAACCAGCCACTAGGCTCTCAACGCCAAGCGGCATCGCTTGTTCTGAGTGATTTCGGCAAACTCGCTGGCAATGCGACAAAGGGTATATTGATCGACATTCCACTCGCTCTTACCGAAGGGCTTCGCGCCGTACCCCGGCTGTATGGGACACCTATGCGGAAACATGACCCGGTGGACGATTTCCAGTCGGGCTTAGTAGTGGCTGGGAAAACTTTCTGTGAAGGGATGGCTGGGGGTGTGAGTGATATTTTCGTTCATACTTACCACGGGAAGAAGAATGAAGGTGCGGCTGGTGCCACCAAAGGCTTAGGGAAGGGGGTAGCAAGCTTTGTTACAAAGACTACTTCTGCCACCCTCGGTTTATTTTCTTATCCAGCCCAAGGTTTGTATCGTTCAGCTTGGGCGGCCACTCATGTGGAACCGCGCAAGATTATGATTATGGCTAAATTGGCGGAGGGGGACTGGCTGATATTAGAAGAGCCGCAGTGGAGCTCTGACCGTGATGCTTTGCTTCAGGATTTTAATGGATTGAGAGGGCAACGAACACCTTGAAGTCTGCCGGTAGGACGAGGCTTTGACGAGACTAACGAGAAACCCTGGTGCAAACCCATAGTTCATTTCAACTGTGAACGTAGGGCAGGGAGCACACTTGACTCCTCAAAAGAGCGGAAGCGAGCTACCTCTACACAACGAGTTGGCTGCCGCGTCTCTTTTAGCACAAACAAGAACCTTAGCCAAACCCTTTGTATGGTCAGCATGACCATAAACGAAGTTTTTTTTTTTTTAACTTTCACTTGGGTCATATCTTGAACATGCAATTTGTCTGTCTGTCTATACTATAGTCCTGAATTTGATCTGTGTTGCCTGATCCTCATTCTGTTTCTTCCATATCCAAAACTGAGAGGTAAACAAGCTACTACCCACTGGGCCCAAAGCCTCGCCAGCCTGAAGCTGCAAAATCATGCCTTGGAAAGCGGCAGAGCCATCAGAATCTACTGACTCGCTTGCCGCAAACAAGAGTTCCTCGTCTCCTTTGACTGCATAGACAATCGAACCCACGGTGACTATAGGGCTACCAAGAACCATTTGGTGATTAAGACTTTGTTCTTGTTGGTCACCAGAAGAGTATCTCACAATCTGGAATTCATCGAGAAGAGGCGCTAATTGGCGTTGAAGAGACCATGAAGCAGCAAGCGCCATTTTCTGGCTCTTTTGACTCCCAGAAGGACTCGAGCCAGGTGACGTTGCCTGCACACCATGAGAATACAATCCCATGAGCATACTCGCTGCTCTTTGCCGAGATCCTTGATCATTGGGTATTCCCAAGCCCTCGCACAATATCTCGAGCATCTTGGTCGCAAGAAGCGGTTCAACCACGTCGATTGCCAATCGTCTGGCCACGGCTGGGGCCATGAACAGGTCGTCTGAGCTGGGAGGGCCATCAGTCGAGGCTTGCTGCGCAGTGAGCGCAGTAGCTTGACTCAAGTAGTCTCTCAATGAACTAGTCGAAGACACTGTCCCGACTCTTATCGCCTTCACCGTCATGTGCGACTCGGTCATCTCCATCTTTTGCTTGTTCGCCATAAGTCGTGATTTGAGTCTCAACAGGACAAAAGGGCCCAAGCTCTCGCTCGAAATCCGCAGCGGCGCCGAGCCAGACGTCGTTGGCTGTGTCATAACAGGCCGTATGGCGTACATCCAAGAGAGACGGCCATTCCGCACCAGCTCTCCAACGACGTTCTGCAGTGCCTCGTTGGCAGTGTGCTTTGCATCGTAGCCAACGCTCTTGAGCCTCAGAACCCCACACAGAGCGTAGAACTTGTCCGCAGGCACAGTGGCCTCCAGCTGTGTCGAGAGTTGCAAGACGTTGCCGTCGCATAGCTCGTACTTCTGCGCCTCGCCGTAGTTTTGTCGTAGATACCAAAGACGACGGCACCAGTTGGCAAACTCGCCCAGCCACGTCTCTTTGCCGTGTCTGCGGAAAAGGCTATCGGCAATGACACCCGCATCCTCGAGGCGCATCCATCCGCTTTCTCCAGGACCCCAGCTCAAAAGATAGTTTTCGGAAAGAAGGATTTCCTGCAGAACCCAAGCCCTCCGCCGCCATTGTCCTGTTGCCAAGCTCTTGAGGCAGTCGAGAGAAGCCTGCTCTTCTGCAGCCCCGAGATTGAGAAGCTCGGTGCAGGAGCCTTGATTCAAAAGACAGTTGTGAGGTGCGAGCAATTCATCGACGGAATTGAGTCGACCCTTGTATTGGCATGATGCCTTGCCAGCCAATTCTTGCAAAGGAGTCAAGTCGACATGGCGCAGTAGTAACACCGTGCAGCGAGCTTCCGAGTAAATCTCGTCCATCCGCGGGATCCAGTACGCCTTGTCTGTATCTGATGATTGATCGATGCATTTGCAGTCTATCCAGCAGCGACCTGAGCTACCCGTCTCAGGCCTCAGGTTCTTCGGTGCCGTGCTTCCCACAACCGAGGACAGGCGCGATCGCACCGCTTCCCAGTCTGGAAGCCTATCCACTGCAGGATCTCGTTTCCATTCACTCCAGACGTAGGATATGGCAACGTGGCGCCCAAGCCCGCTGGTCAAGAAGCCATGGCGGTCTAAGCGGCGATGAAATTTACCCGTGGTCGGATCAATGACCGCGAAAGCAGAGTTACCGCTAGAGAAGAACGATTTGGGAAGCGAATCCGACATTTAGTTAAACTGAAGATTCCAAAATTTGTTGTTGCACGTCAGCAGCAGTGGATGCTGACAGTTGCATGCACGATGACGAGAACATGACACAGCAGAGACGCATTAAATATGCACCTACCCTAGAGCGAAGCTCGCCCGACATGCATCAGTCAATTTTCTAACTCTGGAAGCAACGGACAAATAAAACACAGGTAACTACGCTAATATAGAAAGTCTGATTGCATTCCAGACTTTTTTTGCGTTCAGTTGGGTAGCCCGATTTTCCTTTTTTTCTTGACTTTTGTTTTCTATCAAATTCTTCTTACACTCAAACTCTGATCTACATTCTAGTCATTTAAAACTCTGGGGAGGGAGAGTAACCTGCGTGTAAAGGACTAAAACTAATCATTTCTAAGCGTTGGGGAGTTTGTTGCCTAAGTCTTTGTAATCACGAGCGATTATATTTGCTTCTGTGACTATAGGGACGTTGTGCCAGTCAGAGGCAAACCTCGCTGCTCGTTGCTAAAAAAGGAAGTCTGCAGACGAGAGGTTGAGCGGAAATACAGAAGTAAAAAGAGAATCGAATAGTGTCATGTACAAATATAGCTGCCTCCAGCTAGAACTGGGTATCTCAAAAACAACAAGACCACTCCGTACACTCCCATCTCAACCTCAAGCAGCAATCTAGATTATGCTTTGGCTGTTCCCACTGACTCTTTACCCTGATGAAACCCCTCTTTGACGTCCGTAACAAAACTGTCAAACTCACCTATCACTCGCTTCCCTAAATGATTCCATTGAGCTGCATCAAACCCCCGGAATGCGTTCCGTATGGTTTCTTCCATCGTCATGCCATCCATTTGGCCTGCCGAGGACATTGGGCGTAGCGAGTCATGTTCTGGAGTCGGTTCTCGTGACTTGGTCAATCTCTCGCGCACGTCACGCATGCCCTTCTTAGCCTTGTTGACACCGTTGCTAACACCGTTGACCGTCACCCCCAAAACTCTGCCAAATTTGATGACACCCGACGATCTGCGCGGCCCCGGATTGGTGTCATCCGCCTCGACAGATTCAATGACGACAGTGGGCTTCTTCAGGCTCCTATCCTCATTGAAACTTGTGCGAGTTCCCGGACCGACAGCGTCCTTGACGCTCCTACCATTCTCCGATGACATCTTTTCGGTTGGAACACTTGAATCCATGCTTGTTGGCCTGCCCTGGCCTTCGTGAAGAAGTGCTCTAATATTTTGTGGTGAGGGATCGCACAAAACTTTCATTTTCTTGTAACCCTCCATTGATATCTTCCACTCCTTAGTCTTCGGGCACTCGGCATAGCCAGGCAATCTTACAAAAGCCTCCATCATCTCAACAGCTTGGAGGACATGGCTCTCCGTAGCGCAGAACCATTCATTGTGACCACCGCCGCATTTCTCGCATTGCTCGACTTTGAGATTGTGTTGACGGAGCAAGACCTGGGCAAGCCTTTCGGCCTTCCTGGCGGCAAAGAAGTGGCCTTGAGGACTCTCGTAGATGGTCTCCGAGTTATCGATATTGCACTTCTTCCCCATCTTTTGACGTTTCTTGGAATTGAACTTAGTGTACCCAATCTTGAACAAATTCCTTTCAGATATGTGTTTAAGAACGTAGACGATGCCTTCTTCTTTCTCGGACTTGTCTAGATAGCGATAAACCTCTTCGAGGAACGGTGCGGGACTTCGCAATGTGCCCTTTCTCTGGAGTTGGGATATTGTGCCAAGTCCATCGATATGGGTTGTATTAATTTCGGGAGCACCGGTGTCGCTCTCTGTGATGGTAGTGACTACTGCGGCGGCTTTGATCCCCTTGTCGATGATACTGGTGACAACGGCGGTGGCTTTGACCTCCTTATCGGTAACGGTCATCTCAGAAAACACTTCCGTTACTGCTTCCACCTCGGCGCGAGTTGTTTCTTCATCATCGAAAGTGTTTCCGATTTGGACTGGCTTTTTAGCGTCGGACTCGATCGTTGTTTCGTTGATGTCAGATTCAATCGTTGTTGTTGTTGTTGTTGTTGTTGTTGTATCTTGGCTCAGCGACGCTGAGGACAGGCTCGGGCTGCTGCTTGCTTCTGACGAAACGGAGTTGGCAAGTACCGGCTTCTCTTCGCCGTAAGACTTTATCCACGCCTTGAATCCCTTCATCGCAACCGAGTCATCGGAACTGTGAATGTGACAAAACGAGGAATAAATGAACGACTGGATTTTCCCCTGCAGCCCCTCGGTTAGAACGCATTCCTTCATCAAGCTGAATTCGTTCCATGAGGCCATGCTTTGTTCCCGGTCGTCATGATTTCTCCTTCTCCCGCAACGAAGGCCTCTCTTGGTCTCCGCTAGGCATGTTGTGAACTGGCAATCGTCAATGTGCTCCAGAAGAGTTGGCACACCAAGGATGGCTGCCAGCTCCTGTAGCATTGGCTTCTCGGGTGACATAGTGCTGGGTAATGTTGAGATTTCGAATACGCTGATTCCGCTCTATGTCGAAAGACAGCCTCCACGTTTTTAAAATGCGGGTTTTAAATGCCCCTGAAGAGCGGGGTGATGAGCCCTTGGGAATCTCGGCAAGCTGAATCCTTTGTCAGCCTTGTTATGCAGTTGGTTGTGTCTACAACCTTTTTTAGGCAAGTCATCCGTAATGGAGGGTCGTAGTCGGTTACGATCCTCGACAACACGGACATGGCCGAGCCTTTTCAGTACTTTGGTTTCCAACGGTATGGTCAAAGCTAAGGGCCCCCATGTTCCTGCTAGAGAGATTGTGGGAGAATAGGGGCCCCTATCTGTAAACTGACCGACAGTTTTACTAATCCATTCTCGCCCCTTTACGAGACTTGCCATACTTTTAGTGTAAGTTCACCTGTTGATTCGTGCCTGGCTATAAAACTTGATCGGCGGTGGAGAGTCTATGTGTGCTCTGCAGGCCACCATCTGCGACGAAGAGGACAAACCACGGCACGAAAAACTTGCCTTCTGCCCTATAAATAAAGTATCCACGCCATGAATCATTTGACCGAATGATGGCAATCTTTTGTTAAGCATTTTATCTATTAACTTGTGCGATGTAATTAGAATTGATTATTACATTTTTAACGATCGACCTCTGTATATCTCTCAATTGAAATCTGCTACTGCATTAAGATTGAAGTCAATTCGGCTCATTGGATAAGTTGAGTGCGAGTAGGACACTAAGAAATCAGACCTGTCTTTTTTCAATGAGTTGCTATTTACTGGAGGCTGCTTGTTGCCTTGCATAATGACGTTCAAGGCTTACTGTACTGCCCTGTTGTTATCCCTGTAAGACTTTTCCTGGCACCTGACTGCATACCAAGTGAAAGTCTGCCCAATAGTAGGGCGTTGACGTCAGCAGGCATATAGAGTTGATCTCACTCCACCAGCTTGTCAGGTATATTTAACTCAATCTTCTCCCGGCTGGCATCATCGTACTAAGCTTTTCTCCTATTATCAGGCGCCAATTTGACAGCATTGACCCCGAGCCCTTTCTCCTAACGGGTACAGTTGAGCCTCCTCCATGACGACACCGAGAACTATCTAAACTGAAACATCAACTTAGCCACACAGACTGCTCAGAATGGCACCACACTTACAAGAGCTGTCACCTCGCCGTTGCGACCAGTGCCACGACACCACCTATATTCTTCAACGCGTACTCCCTGTCGTCATTCCGATCGCTTTGATCCTCATTCTTGGCCTGGCATACTGCTTCTGCACTCCTTGCAGACATTGGCGAGAACAGCGAAGGCAGAGGAGGCGCGAAGCAGAAAAAGCCGCCGCCAGGCAGCGAGGGCAATGGAGACGCGAGAGGTTGCAAGCCATGAAACAGAAGGATAGAAGTGATGAACTGGAGCAAGACGGCGGCCCTATTTCCATCGGAGAGTACGAAGAACGTCACAATAGCGCTGGGAACAAAACTGTCAAGCCAGAGAAACCACCTCCAACCTACCATGCCGCTACTGGCCAGACACCACCAAAGGTCTACCGAGACCCGAACCCTAATAGCATGCTTAATGTTTAAATCTGATATATGTTTATGTTTATATTTAGCGTAAAATTTGGGTAACACCGCTGTTTTTATGAATGTTCTTCATTTAATCCCACCTACCTCTGGGTATGGCTGTGACAGGATGAATGGCTGCAAGATCGTATGATTTTCACGATCATGTCATGGAGTAGTAGGGTCTTGCGGACCAAATGCAGCGTGAGCGTGGTTCGCAATAAGGCGTATTCGCCTCACCACGTTGCATTGCTTAAATTGTGGTAAAGCTCATCGGGCTGTCGATCATACCTGAACGTGATGTACCCACAATGACACCAAGACTAAAGACTGAATGCAACATCATGCGGACAGGCACTCTTTGATGTGTGTCCTAAAGTTTTACAACTCTGTCCCGGGGTGAGAAACTTACCTGGCTCAGGCAAACCCTTTGAAATTGGCGGAATATGGCTATGAAACAGTCTTGTGTTTTGATCAACGCTGACCGTCTTCATGTTGCTCGTCGACTAATCTTCAAATAATAAAGCCTCGGAAAATGCTCCGTTTCCAAGACTACTCATACAATCCGAAAATTCATCAAATGATCACGATCCATTATCGAATACGATGGATTTGAATATCGGGCGGGATACAATCAGATCTGGCAATAGAATTATCAGACACCTGTACTCCACACTTCCCGCAATTAGAATATGCCACTGCGCTGAGAATCAGGATTGATCTGGTTGGTTGAACAACTTGCACTGAGAGTCCGGCCCTAACTCACACCTCTGTCTTTCCTTCAATAAGATGCTGCCCTTTGTGCGGGGAGAAGTACAAAGATCCACTCTTTGGCCTCCATAAATATTGAACTAAATAGTACGGGCAGTTACACAGCTGACTCAACTTCGCACTTACGTTCTCGTCGGTTTCTTCATCAAGTGGCATCGACTTGGGCGGTGATGGGCAGCTTGGTTCATCATGTCGGTAACTAACTCAAAAATACCCGGGGCTCATATCTTTTCATTCCAATATCCCGAGCTGGACGGGAGGAGGAGAAAGCGGCGACCTGGGTCAGATGGTGCCGCGGGGAACCCGGATATCCGTTTATGCAAAATCCGAAATGCATGCAACGCTTGTCGAGAGTAAGCCAATTCCGTTTGAGCAAGAAAAAAAATGTCATATCACTGACAATAGCCACAGGAAAAAGACACGATGTTCGGGTCATGAGCCGTGTGTCCGCTGCCAGCAAAATGGACAGACATGTGAATACATGCCGACGGTGGGCACCCCTCAGAAAACACCTCGTTCATCAAGGGCTGGCAAGAGGAAGTCCCTCTCGGTACCATCACCAACAATCACAGCAAACTCTCATGAGTCAAGAATGGATGATCTGACTGTTTGCTCCCCAATCGTTCCAGCTGAATCTTCCGCTGGCAGTAGTAGAGAGGTTGACGAGAGCCCTCCAAATGTTTCCTTGCAGGAGGACCAGTACGGCCATCTACATGGAGGCGCCTCAGAATTTGCGTTCCTACAGTTCGCCAAACAGAAATTAGCAAGTGTGCCATCCATGTCCATTGACTTCTGCGATTATCCCCTCGCCGCGCCTGCTGGACCCAATGTCATGCCTCCAAAGCAAATAGGGGACTTGCTGCTTCAGACTTTTTTCAATTTTGGCCTTTCTACGTCACGCTATATTCATCAACCCAGCCTGACAGAGGACTATGAGAAATTGTATGATGCGGCAAACACCGCCGAACTTGGGACAGATAAATTGGCACTTATCTACATGGTCATGGCCTTGGGCTCCCACTACTCGACCCTACAAAACATGTGGTGTGGCTATTCCGCTAGGTATGCATTTGAACTGGGAAAGCTGAACAGTAAAGGGCAAATTTGATACTAACATCCATACAGCGTCCAGTTCTACCACATGGCTGATCAGCAACTTCAGAAGGGAACGAGTCGGATCTCAATAGCCTCACTTCAATCTCGGCTTCTAATCACACATTATCTGCTCAATCATTCTCGTATGCACGAGGCGTGGTCTCTATTTGGTGTCGTTGTTCGCCATGCTCAAGCACTGGGCCTTCATAGGAGATCAACAAGGGCGGCAGGAAATTTTATCGTGTTGGAAACTCGAAAGAGGTTGTTCTGGGCCATTTATATCAACGATCGCATTCTCAGTAGTATATTCGGCCGACCATGCGCATTGCATGACAGTGATATCGACCAAGAGGAAGTTACACTAGCCAACGACGTCGATATCACCGCTACGAGTTGTAAAGTTTCCCCCACAGACACATTCTGTTCCACAGCGGCTCTCTTTCACTATTCAAGGCTTACCCGTATTCTTGGAATGATTCTACAGCAGCTGTACGGTCCAGGGTCTCGAAGCCACAGCATCCAAGAGCTGCACAGGATGGCGCTTATTTTTGAATCGAAACTCACCGCTTGGAAAGACGATCTTCCAACCTATCTCGACTACACAAAGCTCCCCGCCTCGGCAATGTCAACTATGACGCAGCGCCAGACGTGCACCTTGAAATTGACCTTCTCTCACGCAAGTTTATTGTTGTATCGGCCGTTCATTTTGTACTCCCTTGAGGCATCAGTGGAAAAGACGCCCAACCTCCAAGGCTGGATAAAGCGGTGCCACGACAAATCCATCGATGCCGCTAACACAATTGTTGCTGAGTGCAAGTACTTGGCGCAAAGGGGGCTCTTCTCTCGGGTCTTCTACCTCGTTACATACCTGCAATTCGCTGCCATCGGCACACTCTTCATGTATTGCCATCTATGGCCAAATGCATCCGAGGCCCGCAACACGGCCGAAGAGGCAAGGATGGCATTTCCCTCTGGTGTGGAAGGCGACCTTGTTGGGCAACGGTACGTCGAGGTCTTGAACGAGTTGAGCAAGCTTACTTCTACTACGAGCATAGACCTGGCTAGTGGCGACTTTGAAGGGGTCCAATTGAATGACCTAGCTGCTGATTTTGAGAGCGTCCCGGTAGATCTTGCAGGTCCGTGGTCCAACTTGTTCTTTGACCCAACCACGTTTGATGAGTATCTAGGCTTTGACATGGACGGAGCACAGATGTGACAAGGGTGGTGTTTTAGCAATAAAAGGACTGGATACGTTCACGTTACGTCTGTCACTTCTTTCCAATTCAAACACAATAATTGCAACCACCGGCATGGAAATATCTCTCTCAAGACAAGAGTGCTTAAGCGTCACGAGGTTGAGCCCGGGTATTCTCAAACCTGGTGGGTTGCAATTTCTCAGTGCCGGAAAATGGTGGGGAAGCTTTTATTTTCCTAATTAGGAAAATACCTCCCTTCCCCGGCGCCTTGATCTCTTCGAGCCCCGAAGAAGGATGCAAGAACTTCAGAAAAAGGGCATGATGTGCTATTTTTTGGTCCCACGACTGCGAATCAACGTACGGGCTTACTATTCCCTCTGCGGGGTAGTCATCATCCGGGAGTAAGGTTATGCTCTGGCTTCATCTATAAAATCTGCACCATATCGTCCTGAATCCTGCCAAATATTATTGACTACTAAGTTCATCAATCTATTAAAGCCTGGAAAGTATCAACATCAAAGATAATTCAACATGACCGCTACAACTCTCAGTCCAAATGGCCCTCTCAACTTGGACGCTGGGTTTCATAAAAGCCCATCGGAGGATGTGGGTTCACAACCTGACCAAAGGAAGCCGCCAGTCTTATTCGGCAACGACAAGAAAATTGAGCACACACGCTACCTAACCCCTTGCTATCCTGACACACCTATCGAGGAGCTTAGAAAGAAGTATTGGCAGGATGGAGTTCTTTGGGTAAGCAGTTCCCATTCGGTATTAGCCAGTTGCTGCTTCTATTCGGCAACTAACCATTCATTTAGATTAAAGGCCTTCTTGATCCAGTAATGATCAATGAGTTCCGCGCTCAGTATCTTTCGATGGTAAATGAAGGAACAGGAATGCTGAAGCCCGGGACAGACCCAGTGGAGGGCATTTTCTCTGGGGAAGATTGGAGGAACTATCTTCTCCCGGGAGCTGTCCGCATCGCTGCCGGGCTCCCTGATGAAGGACCTTTTGTGGAGAATGCCATCCGATTTCATCATTGCCAGGAGTACCTAGACTTCAAGGATAAAGTTGGGAACCAGATCGAGCCCTTTGTGGGGAAAATGCTCAAATTTAGTGAGCCCTGGTGTCTACCACGGTCTCTACTAAGATGTGCTGTCCCAGGAGGTGAAACAACGCCCGTGCACTATGATCAAATCTTTCTAAGAGCTGGCCCTCCGACAAGCATAACTGCGTGGGTACCGATTGGGGACGTTGAAATTGAGGGGGGAGGCTTGATTTATCTTGATCGTGCCCACGAGATTGGTGTCAGATACGAGCAGGACTTCTCAAAGATGAACGCCGGTCTCTCGGACGAAGAGCGCATTTCCGCTTTTAACAAAAACATGGAGAAGGGCGGATGGCTGGACAAGAACGCGAGCAGTTTCGGTGAACAGTGGTCTAGGGGCTGGCTAGTGGTGAGTACATCATGACGAGCGCAACGCTGGACCTGTTCTGTGAGACTGACATTGAACATAGGGCGAGTATGAAGCTGGAGACGTGGTCTTTCATACCCCATACACAATCCATGCGGGAGCGAAAAACCAGTCGCCAAGCGGACGCATTAGAGTGTCAACAGACCTTCGCTTTGTCGACAAGTCAAAGTCCTACGATGAGCGATGGACCATCATGGCTTATTCGGAACATGATCCAAATGTTGCTCGAAATTCAGCCCGAAGGAAATAATTGTCTACGCAGGCTAGCCCAGAGGCTTCTTGTTTAGATTTCAACAGACTTGGTTCCTTTCTTGGCATATGAAAGGCTTCTGGTTCCACCTGTGGATCTGTGATGGGAGAATCTGCCGTGCGACAATAGCAAGTTCTTGAATGAGTGGTGCTCTACTCCCTGTTAAAATGCCACATCTCCATGCATTAGTGCAGGGAAGTCAGCGGGCTCGAGAAATGATCCGACAGATATGGCCACAATGTTTATAAAGATACCTTCCTCACCGCCTCGGCATCTTGGCATCTCCTTGAAACCCTCCTCCTTTACACCGACTAGTTCGCAAGAAATGCTCAAAAGCCTTCTAGATGGGAGTAGTGTGGTGAGAATCGAGCTCCATTGACATTGCAAGATCCTATGCTGTCTACATTTCCATTCTAGGTGTTAGTATACGTTGATGAGTAGCAATGAGCTCAATTGAACCAGATATTACGGCGGCTACGACACGTCAACGTTACCTTGCACTGCATACATCTTTGCCTGCCGCGGTGGGAGAAGCATTTTACTGGATGGAACAATCAAGTGAATCCTGCTTCCTGGTGCTGCATGCTGAAGAGATGGATGACTTGGCGTTTCAGGCAGTTTTAGATCTAGTTTAGCTATCAATCAGGGCCACGGGAAAATCCAGATTCAAGACTAAGTCGCACGGTGATGTTCCGATTGCTCTCATTTGGGATGCCCTCGTTTGGGGTTGCCAAATGTGGCTGCTGGAGGATGTCACTCCGAAATACCCCAGCTTCACAATCCACTTACACGAGTTTAGCAAGTATATATAACATTCCATGTTTCGAAGGCAACATCAAAAGAAAAAGAAGTGATATACCAATCAGAAACACAAACAAACATATCTGATAGTTACCTTCGAGATGCACTTCCTTCAGGCTCTCGCAGTTCTCAGCGGCGCGCTGATCAGCAGCTGCAATGCTCAGATCGGCCCCCAGCTTGCCCCTCGCGATAGCTGGGGAGGCGCTGTCAGTCTTGGGCCAACCACTTCGACCATCAAGAAGGCGGTGACGACTATTATTCCGGGCGCTGCACCACCGACGCAGAACGGAGTCCTCTTTCTCTGGCCTGGTATGTCCAACGGAACTGGTGATCTTGTTCAGACAACGCTTGAGTCTTGGCCTGTAAGTTTCATTGCACAATCTCCGCCGACGGAAGTATGGGAGGTCGAGAGTTGTGGTTTGTTAACATTTTGCTCCAGGACAACAGCTGGTGTGGTGCCACGTCTGGTCAGTGGTGCGTTCGAGCCTCGCTTTTTGGCTGGTTCGGGCAGCTGGATGGCCCAGCTAGCCCCGTGAGCGCCAACCAGAAGGTCAAGATTGTCTATACCCTTCAAAGCGACAATGACACCTGGAAGCAAGATGTTACTGATGCTGATACTGGCGCTGTTTTGAGCACCTTCTCCTACAAGTCTGGTCCTTATATGCGCGGATATGGCACTGGAACTGAGTGTAACGACGGCTGCTCTGGAACCATCGCGGAACAGCGTTATATCAATACCGAGATCACCCTGGCTGGCGGAGATAAGAACTTTGGCAAGACAATCGCAACGTCTCAAGGTGCTACCTACTCAGGACTGGCGAGCAATAGCGACGGATCGGTGTGGACAATTTCTGAGATTCGTATCCCGAAGATGGTTTAACTATCCGGATGATCCAATCTTACATGCCAGGAATCCAAGCAAGACCCTATTTACAAGAGTCATCTCAGCTTTTTTAACATGATGTTACTCACGTCTTTTACGATTAGCGATGAATGTCAATGTATTGGCATCGTGTTAGCGACGCGGCTAACCAAGCTCACTAGCCTGTGGGAGCGGTCTTCTGAAGTTCTATTAGATAGTAAATGCTAGTTTTCCATGGCGTGCAAATATGAATCCAAATGTCCAAATACATTTTCTGCCTGGGCTAATACATCAGTGGAGTAACAACACGACCTTCCAGCCCAACGCGGCGTCCTCACTCGTTCCTAAAAACAATCTTTCGATTCTTCCTTGTAAACGAAATAGAGTTTAAGTATAAAGCTAAAAACAGTAATGAAAGATGCTAGATCCAGAATCTCAACACAATGACTCCCTTATGAAAACTTTCCTTTCCGGGTGCTTGTAATGTAGTAACAGGGCTAAGCCGATGTTGTACTGTGTGTAGAGGAAGGAGAAAGAGACTTCTAGCGATTTAGAAGGGTGACTCTGGTTTCTTCTTGTAGCCTAATCGCTTCCAAAGGGCTACTACACGCTTCAAGGAATCAGTAAAGAGTTATATGAGCCTTTACACATTTTAGCAAGCCATGATCACTTCTTCATCTAGACCTTTTTCCGTGTACTCGTTAGAAAGACAGGATTAATAATTAGTTCAATAGGCTTTGACATAAATGGTATAGAATCGACGTGCACCTCTATCATTTAAGAAATAGTAATTACAACAATCCTTCTGTTGCATTTGCTAAAATAGTTCAAGTTTATTGATGCCTATCCATATAAAGCCAAGGTTCCGTACATTCTTTATCTAAACAAACGTACTAGCTTCCAAAACATGCATTTAATCAACTTATTGGTTATAATTCACAGGCCTATGAACGCGCAAGTGCCTATGATAGCACCAGTGTCAGAGACAAACTTGGAAAATGACGTCTAGGCTTTTCTCCTTAAACCTAGATGAACGTTAGGGCCGTTTATCGATGCTCTGCTGGAGTCGGCATCTCAGCTAATACAGCTCGCTATCTCAAACATGTCTTATCATTTGAATAAGCATATCAAGATATGGTTCAATTCCATCCCAACTCCGAGTTAGGCTCATGCAATCGTTCTCACATGGCACCCCTCACTACCGAACTAATAGCCAATGAGCTTCCCAATAGTCTCAGCCGCGCTCAGCCGCATTCCTATAATACGACTATGTTTCCCTAAATCTACACCATTCGGGGCCACATCTTTTGTTTTGTGGACCGATTATAGGTTGCAGTGTAACATCAATATTGCACCTGCTAGGAAGGTGTCACATGCAGGATTGTAGCCGAGCAATATTGGTGTGGCAAGCCTGAGCTCAGCTGTAGCCTTACATCCTGTATAAAGGCATGACGTACTACCTAGGTTGACGCATGGTTTGATCGCAATAAGCAATCATAATCAAGCATACAGTTTACTATCTCATTGCCCATTATGCGTGTTTCTGCGCCCCTTTTCCTCGCTCATCTTGCCTTAACAGCACCTTCTTCAATCCACCAAGTGAGGGAACAAGTTGCTAGCAAATACATTGTAAAGTTTAAAGATTCTCCTGAAATCTCTACCTTTGATGATGTTTTAGGCTCCGTATCCGTGAATGTCGAAAATACATACAAGGGTATTTTCAACGGATTTGCCGCCACTTTGGATGCCTCGGCCCTGGAAAAGCTTCGTGGGCATCCCAGTGTGAGTACTACTTTATTCCTCTCCTCTTTTAATTAATTCAGTAGGAAAAAACGGCTCTAGATACTGAAGCTCATTTTGCAGGTTGACTACATTGAGGAGGATTCAGTTGTCTCCATCGATAGCCTGGTGACTGAGCCGACATCGCGATGGAATCTCGCTCGAATCTCGCACCGTGCCAGAGGCGCCACCAACTATATTTACGATGATAGTGCTGGCTCGGGTACATGCGTCTACATTGTTGGTACAGGAATCGAGACAACTCACCCGGTAGTTTCCCCCTCATTTCGGTGTTCAATACATATTACTTGCTAACCACGGAGGTCATCTAGCAATTTGGTGGGCGTGCTTTTGCAGGGGCTAACTTTGCTGGTGGTACCAACAACGACGGCAATGGACATGGAACGGCCATGGCGGGAGTCGTAGGCAGCATTCTGTATGGTGTTGCAAAGCAGACCACCCTCATTGGCGTCAAAGTCCTCAGTGACAGTGGCTCTGGTACCGTGAGCAATCTGCTCTCTGGTCTCAGCTGGATCACCTCCGATGCTACCACACGAAGCTGCCCCAAAGGCGTCATGGTCCTTATCGCTCTTGGGGGCGGTTATTCATCTGCCGTAAATGCTGCAGTGGCGGCCCTCGTCAGCGGCAACAAGTTCGTTGCAGTGCATGCGGGAAATGACGCCTCCAACGTGAGCAATTATTCTCCTGCATCCGAGCCTTCAGCTTGCACGGTTGGAGGGAGTAATGCCGACGATTCGGTCAGCTCTGCAAGCAACACTGGGGCTTTGCTTGATATATGGGCTCCTGGCCAGAGCATTCTTACTACGTATCTAAATGGTGGCACGGTTAGTTTGCAACCTCTTACTCACTCTCACTCCCAAACTCTGCCAGTATGATTGAAAAAAACTTGCTAATTTATGAACCAGGCAACTCTTTCCGGATCACTAGCCGCAGCTCATGTCGCTGGGCTAGGCGCCTACATTGCGTCGCTCGAAGGTATCAGCCCATCCCTGATCTGCGTCTGGCTTCAAGCACTCTCAACCAAGAATGTACTCACAGGCGTACCACCTGGGACTGTCAACTATCTTGCCTATAACGGAAATGGTGCGTGATGGGTGCAAGCAGGGTGCGAGGGAAACATGTGAATCTACCTAGCCAACGCAAAGGAAGCTATTTATATGTATTTCAGTATAGTCAGCTAGGTGGGAGAACAATCTACGAGAAGTGAATGAACAAATGAAGATTTACAGCTTTGAAACGCCGAAGCCATCGCGTTTAGCAACTCCCACCATGGATCTAGTGATCTTGGATATGGAGCTTGCTCCAGATAAGACCATGGTTCGCCATAACTCCCGTTCCAAAATGTGAAGGACCGCCTCCACACCCTTTTGCCCGTCATATGCCAATCCCCAGAGAGCTGATCGGCCGATCAAGCATAAATCTGCACCTAGAGCCAGCGCTTTGAAAACGTCGCTGCCAGTAGATATCCCACCATCAAAAACAATCGGAATCCTGCCTTTCACCACGTCGGCTATCTCCGGAAGCATCTCAAGCGTGGAAGGAACACCGTCTAACTGTCGGCCTCCGTGGTTAGAGACAACAATGCCATCCACACCGGCCACCATGGCTTCAAGAGCATCCTCGGCAGTCATAATGCCTTTGACAAGTATCTTCATTGATGTCTGCTCCCTAAGCCACGGGATGACCTCACCCCATTCTAAGGTGCGGTCGACGAGGAAATCCCCATTCTCCTCGTCCACCTTCTTTGCCTCAGCCGCCGTCTTGGCATTGAGCAAAAGCCTACCCTTGGATACTCCACCAGCTTGCCTTGAAGCTCGATTAGCTGTTGATAGGCCGGGCGGGAGGACAAGAGGCTTCTTTCTCTCGCCCAGCCTGTTTCCGAGGACCGCAGTATCGACTGTGAGTACAAGCGCTTCAAACCCAGCCTCTTCAGCGCGTTTAATCACGCCCCTAGTCTGCTCTCGGGAGCGTAGAAAGTACAGTTGGAACCACGGTGCTGGATACTTTGCATCCCGAGTGGGCAAGGCCGCCATGACATCCTCGAGAGATGTGGTGGCGTTCGAGGATAGCGTGAAGTTGGTGCCGAGGGCGTAGCTAGCGCGAGTCATATCGATTTCACCTCCAGGTCCTACAAGTTTCTGATACGCGCTTGGGGCGATCGCGATGGGTATATCATATCTTTTACCAAAGATGTACGTCGAGGTGTCCACATCGGCGACATTTTGAAGTGCACGAGGCCGGAGCAAGAGCCTATATGTGTGTACAAAGTCAATCCCACCGTGTTCGTGCCATCGGTTTCGCATATCTTCTGGGGATGCATTACTTCTTATAGATGTTGGAGTTGCGATCTAGTGTGCGGCTCTCATCTGCTCCAGTCGTATAGTAGTCCCATGTTGGCTGGTTGAGCTTGGTCTTCGCGATCTCCTTGACCTCAGCGACCGTGATTGGGTCGGAGGGCGGCTCATCAGTGGGCGACATGGTATCGATGGATTCCCAGACACCCGCGTATTTGTTAGTTCGGAGGAAGGCCAATTACTGGAATTATCCACAGAAGGTATATGCCACCTCTCATCAATATATAAGAGAAGAATCGGTCAACTTCCGAGGTCACGTCAAAGGATAATACGCCGACGTCGGAGGTCCGCCGGAGCCCCCCGGGGTAGATCGGGCCGCCCGGCAATTGCTCTATATCGCCGTGGTGCTTTGAAAGGACAAGTCCTGTATGGTTCTACACAGTTTAGAGTAAGGTAATTCCTAGTTTATCTAAGAAAAGCTGCCTGATTAAAGAGGGGATCGACGTCAGATATCCTGGAATTCCTCGGGAAGAGCCGTATTCTCAATCCATGCAAGGATGCCCGCGGCAAAGAGAGCTGGATATTGAAGATTCCAGGCGTGCAAGGCTTGTTTTACAACAACCGATCTCGACATAGACCTCGACCCAGAACCTTCAATGGCTCTTTCTCTCAATGCATCGCCCACTAACGCGGTGCCAGCGACATCGTCCTGCTTTCCCCCAGCAACAGTGATCGCCCTCGTTTGGATCCTCTTCACGTCCGATAGTTTATACCGAACAATAGACCCAAACTCATTACGCAGCATCTCTAGGCTGCAGTTCTTGCGCATTTCCACCAACAAGGCCTCGTGGCGTCGAAACCCAATCCACGACGCATACGTCCAATACAGCCAATCCGGGAGGAAAAGTATCAGCCAAACCACGCAAAACACTAGTACCGGCTGATGGGCAATAGTCAACCGTAAACCCTCTCTGTATGGTTCTGCTCCAGTGACGAAAAGCGACATGGCGAGTGAAGGGTGCTCGATTGCTAGTCGCTGGGCGATAAAGCCACCCATAGACAGCCCAACGACGTGCGCTCTCGAGCCGTGGGCGTGCGTTCGAATAAGGTCGGCCACACGGTTGGCCACGTCCTCAATCGACACAAGCTTAATGTGTCTTGACGCTGAGTGGGAAGGCAGATCCGGGAGGAGTATATGGTAACGGCCGACCAGATGAGGGACTACTTCACTCCATTCCAGATGGCACGATAAGCCGCCATGGAGTAAGATGATGGTCGTCGGATTGTGATCGCCCAAAGACAGGAAGAACAGTGAAGAAGCGTCCTGAGACGGGGATTCCTGATAGTTGACTTGCTCAGCCATGCTCAATTCATATGCTGGTTCGGTTCATTGCAGAAGCAGCGATGTAAGGGCAGACATCCGAGAGCGTACGGTCAGAATTTGTTGAGAAGGATCTTCGCTGCAGTGATGCGCCAAGACATCACGCACACATCAGGCAAGCAAAATATGTCTTTCCTCGTCAGCATTTCCGGAGGATCCGATAGGTCACTTCAATGTCTACCCTGACGAGGAGCGATCAACAAATTGTTCATAATACGTCACCGCTGCCGGCTTGGAGATCTATATTAAATGTACGTTGATGGTGGCGATATCGCGCTTCCTTATATGGTATGTATATGATATTCCAATGAATAACGTTAAAAAGGCCCGCGTCTGTGTGTCTAAGCAGCGGCATTGAAAATGGACGGCCACTTGGCCACAACCTCGCGCAAAACCACCTCTAGTCCACGGCCAGATACGTCTCCCAACTCTCTCCCGCCCGTCTTTTGCTCAATCCACTTCTCCTCCCAACTTAGCAAATCAGCGGCAAAGGCCGTCTGATTATATCTAGCAGGTGGCGTGGCAATCAAGTACGAAACAAAGCGCTGCCATCGGGGGAGGTAGTAGTGCGAGACAAGACCTGCCCAAGACTTGGATGCATAGTCGGAGATCTCTCCCTTGGGACCCCATAGCGTGACTTGTGTTCGTGCCTCATACTCGAAGAAATCGGCGACATCCTCCCCAGCACCTGTGTGGCCAGTCGCGCGAGCTGCTTCGATCCAGGTAGATAGTCTGAAGTTCTTGTTGGTTGCGAGCACAGCATCGAGAGAGGTGAGCAGGGAGGTGATTTGCCGGCCCTGCTTCTGAAGGTCACACTTATTGGCCGGGCTTGTCTGGTTGGCGCTAGAACCAGTCCCATTGTAAGTTTCAACCAATCGCTGATACATTGGAATGAACGCGTTGGCGAGCACCTGTCGAGTCCAGTCAACTAGGTCGTACTGGTATGCTGCATTCTCAAACAGCGCGGGCTCCTCTTTTCCTGCGGCGTACATCTCACCCCATGCATCGACCAGAATGGACGTATCATAATTCAAGGTTGTAGGATGGTGGCCTGTACGGTTGATCATCCCCGTCGTGCTGGGGACGAGCTCCAAGATGGATTTAGGCACCGCATTGGCTGCCATGTGCGTGTTGTTGTACACTGTTGGGCGCACGATTTCCCAAGCTGCGTATAACCCCTTCGGAATTGTGTTGCTGCTGGCTCCATATCGGGTGCTGACCCAGTCGTGGAAGTACTCCTCCGTGTCAATGGGAGTGGTGCTCCAGGCTTGGTCAAGTAGCAGATCGTACACGATCTCATTACCCTCCTGGCCTTCCATGGACAGACCAAATCCTACCATGGTGCTTGACTCGGCATCCAGAGCCTGGATTGGGTTCACGGTGATGTTCATGATCTGTCCATAGAGACCCATGTTGTGTCCGTAGTCGTGTAGCTGGCACCAGATCCACGGCTTGCCATAATACGACTCGGTCTTTTGCCAAAGTGGTGTCGATTCGGAGAAGAGATCCAGGATCAACATATCGGCGTTCTCTGTTACTCCCCCTAGGAACGCCTTGATCCGTTCACTGGACCAGAATGCGCTGTCAGACGAGAAGAGCCAGCTCTGCATGACCCATACGGCATCCGGGTCGGCCTTCTTGAGGGTCTTCCACGTGTTAGAGCTGAGCGTTTCGAGGTAGCCCGTATCACCTGACGATGGTGAGTTCTCGTTGAATTGATCGAGCGCATAGTAGCTCGAAACGTTCCCATAGTGTTCCTTCTGTTTATTGATAAAACTATGTTGAAGCTGGCCGAACAGCTCATCGAATGGGTCTAGAAAAGTGACGTTCGTGTACTCGGTATCGAAGCGCTCCCAGGCTGAGCTGTTGGAGACGTTGGCGTTGGGGAAGTGCTGCAAGATGGTCGCGGGCACAAAACCGGGGAAAGCGGGCAGAATAGGAGTCATTCCAAGCTCAACCATGCGCTTCACGATCTTTTCCTGCAACTCAAATTGATCATCAACCCACGAGAAGGGCAGATCTCCACCCCATGACCCTTGGATGTTTCCAAAATGGTTCCAGGCGAGAAAGGCCGGGCCAGAGAGGAAGTCTTTGATTTCATCGTCGGAAAATCCTAGCTCTTGAAAGGCTTCGATGAAGATTTTTTCAATTCCAATCCATGCCAAGGGGAGGTTGACGGAATGGAGCGCCATCCAGTCAAGCTGCAGCTCCCATTCCTCCCAGCTCCAGAACGCAGAGGTATACGAAGTAGTGACTGCTCAAATGTTAGATCGACCAACTGTGACTTTCAATCTGCATATCTACTTACCTGTATTGAAATGGTATCGCCAGGGAACAATACTGGAACCCTCTAGGGGCGCAGACAAGGCTGGTAGGGTTGAAGGCGCAGCGTCCAGCTGGCTGCCAATGAACCACCAAACATCGACGTGAGCCGAGCCGGATAGATACTTGTGAAGCCTCCAGATAAATCCTTGTCAGCTTACCAGAGAACACCGGTATGAGAATGAGGCTTGCTTCTGTTCCAAGTACTTACCCCGACAACAACCCACTGACGGAGTTGGCTTGAACCTTGATCTTGCCGTCGTTCGTGCTAGACACTGCGTAGCTATCATGCTCTGAGTTGGTTGAGCTATTGTTGGAGACTGTCGTCGCGATCTCGAAAATGAATGAATCCGCGTGCTTTGGGAGACGGCGCTGCACCAGAGATCGGACACCAGCCACCGACAGCGTAGAAGTCCGGACGGTAGCCGCAACACCTACCGCCCATGTCACAAGCTGAAGGAAGCGCATCGTTGAGAATGTGAACGAGTGGCGGCGACCTCCTGAGTGTGCTACCTTGAAGCCTCTTCCTAGGGGAAGAAAAGAGCAGCGGTAGCCGACTTTAAAAGCAAATGAAATAAATGATTAACGTCTGTTGATGCCTACTGCTGACCCGCTCGGGTGGCTCGCAGCGTCATGCGCGAAATGCGGGCGATGGCATGCAGCAACAAGGTCTCACTTTTTTGGGGACAGCGTCATTCCCCCAGCACGTGGATTGTTTGCACTCCTTCTAAGGCACGATCTCACACTAATCTTCCTTCACTAGAGATGGACCCGTAAGCAAAGCTGGTGAATCCATGTTTCTCCGGGTCGCACGGCACATATCAGCCGGATAGGCTCTGAGGAACACCGATCTTCATTTGGCGGGTGTGGTAAAGGATTTAAAAGGACATGGCTTGCAATACATACCCTGTCGAGTTCTTAAGACGAGTACTACCTTACTCTTGCAAAACATCTCACCTTGATCATCCCTAGGTTCCGTCCCGACATATGTCTTTGGGTACTCGGATCATCAAAATCCAAATAATATCGTTTCAGCCCAGTCTGGAGAAATCCATCCGCCGTTGGGTTGATCGCAAAGCTCTCTTAGTGATCCTTCGCTGGAATCAGCGCTCACTCCTTCCACTTTCACTTTAGCAGGTCTCCACTATCTGTAGCTGGGAAAACTCAAAGGAAAAATGTCCAGCATAATATGGTAAATGGATGCTTGATCTTGAGTGAGCTGGGATATTCGAGCAATCTCACTGGATAACTGGGCCATTTGCTGAAAGTCGCAGGTTCTTCCTCGGAATCTTCAACTGCCAGCACAAAGCTGGTATATTCTTTAGCCTTCTCCTTGAGGGCCGAATTTTGTCGTTCAAGACAACTCGTTGTAACATGAAGGGATGCTTGTCACACTATGTAGCACTCATGGTTATCATTCAGCGAACCATATGCGAACTACTTCTTCCTGTGCCCCTGCGCCACTTTAGGCATCACTGAATCACCTCTAGAAGCTCATCGGTCACAAGTAAATTTTATCGCGCAACATGGCATAGATCCAAAACATCACGGTATTTTCATCGACACTAGATCCGGCAGTCAGAGAAATGCTCAAGGCGTTCCTCTACTTTGGTGGAATCAATTTTCAATACTATTGTGGACTATTCCGAGATGGAAAACCGGAGACATATTGATTTGAAGACACCATCTGGTGCATCTGCCATCTATAATAATGACCTCACCTCGCTGAATCAGAGCGATGAGGAGATACGGGTTATCCATCTGGCAAGCGGCTCAGACGGCTCGTTCATCGAATGCACTTTGCATAAAATCTCACTCAAGTCCAACCCTGCCCCCAAGTATGATGCACTAAGCTATACATGGGGTGACGCTACTGATACGAGGGAAATCATCCTCAACGGCTACGTGGTCAACGTCACTCACAATCTCTTTCTGGCTCTGCGCCGGCTGCGCCAAAAGGAGGAAGAACGAGTCATATGGGTCGATGCCGTCTGCATTAATCAGCTGGATTTGGATGAACGCGCCCAGCAAGTCGACCTGATGAGGAAGGTCTACTCGCTTTGTACGCAGGCTGTCATTTGGCTAGGAGAACCACCGGAGCAAGCCACGCCTACTTTTCCCATGCATTGGTTTGGAGATGAGCGCGATGATGATTCGTTAGAATGGCTGTGGAATAACTTCTACGATTACGCAACCGATCCCGAGTTTGACACCACAGACGGAGATACAGTCGACTGGGTTTTCCACGGGCTTGCCAATATCAGATTGCTTTTAACGGGGCATCTGTCAGATCAGCCTCTCTTCGCAGACTTTACTGGGGATAGTTTTTCATACCCCACGGGCTACTCTAGGTATTGCCGATCCTTGTCCAAGGCACTACGGCCATTCTATAAGAACCCCTGGTGGACAAGAGTCTGGGTGAGTTGATGTCGCCTTGTGTGGTCAAGACATGAATAGCTGACATACCTCGCGTGCAGACTGTCCAAGAGTCTGTACTGCCCCCGAAAGCTTGCGTACACTACGGACCTACAACGCTTGACTTTTTGTTTCTACTTGATGCATTCGCAACACTCGCCAAACATGTTCTCGACGACTGTTGTTCGAAGTTTTTCTCCAGCTCAGACCTAAACATTAGATCGGCCTTGGGCAGGATTGGCAGTAAAATCGTAAATATTAGAAACCTGCGCAATAACCAGCGGGATGGCTCAGTTATGGGTCTATGGGAGACACTGATCGCATGCCATGCCCGAGAAGCAACCGACGATCGTGACAAGATCTTTGGTGTTTTGGGTCTGGTCAACTCGTGGCCCGTCGAACCGATCAGCGCAGACTATAAAGCAACAGTAGAGGCTTTGTACCGGCAAGTCACCGCCTCACAAATTCTTGAGAATTCGTCCTTGGTCCCGCTTCATCTTCCGCTGAGAAAATACGCTCATCAAAATCTTCCGTCATGGACGGTTGATTGGACCGCGCCCCATGGGTACGGTAGTCAACTCAACACATACCAATTCGGCCGAGACATATACAAATCCTTTGAAGCTGGCGGGAAACAACCCTGCCGCCCCGTCTTCAGCTCAGATCAACAAGTTCTCCAGGTGAACGGACGCCGCTGCGATAGAGTCAGTTCAGTGGGTAGAATGGTACCAGCAGGCTCCCCTGCCAAGAAGCGGAAGGCCTACTGTGACTGGTTCAGGATGGCCCAGATTCATCGGTGTCCATCAAAGAGCTATGTGTCGGGGTGCTCGTATTTCCAAGCGTTTTGGAGATGTCTCAGCTGGAACATATTGATGATCATGTCCGAAGACCCATGTACCAAGGAGAGCATGCGGCAGTTCGACGCAAAAGCAAGTGATGAGGAGTATTATGAAGCATTCTTGTCATACTCTAAAACCTCGCGCAGCTCAATCTTCCATCCCAAAGGATTATCCAAAGAGGATAGAAAAGCTGTACTGAAGTTTGATCCGACCTTCGCCCCAGCTGACGACCAAGCATGGGGTCAGTTCTCGTCGTTGGCTTTTCGAGCCGAGCAAGTGATACACGGTTTGACTGTCAATATGGTAATGTTTATGACCGATTCCGGATACATCGGCATCGGCCCGCCCCAGACAAAGGTAGGAGACGAAGTGTGGTGCCTTTTTGGAGGCTCGATTCCGTTCGTCGTCAGAAGCACTGGAAAAACATGCGCTGTTCGCAAAGGAGAGACGGAAACATCACTTTGGGAGGTTTTGGGGAACTGCTATGTCCATGGAATCATGAATGGCGAAATTGCAGATGATGAGAATCTCCCAGCACAAACCATTTGCTTGGGATAAGACCGAGTATAAGTTCTTTGGCAAGCGCCGCTCCACCTTCAGTCCAGTTCTCTACTCTCATCGACTCCAAATCTCTATCATCACGAACAGCAACTGTGAAGAGTTCTCTGTCACATGAGACAGAGGATTATTACGGCAGTCTTTTCACAATCTTGTTCCGCAACTTTATAAATACCTCTTCCTCAAGTTTTGTAAAGGAAATAATAATATAGCTAAAGATAAAGAAATGCAATGACACAAAGTCCTCCAAAAAAAAGAAGACTTTAAATCTTAATTTTTTCCAGGCTTAAAGTTAATCCCGACTTACTACCTTCTGCGGTTAATTTTATCTGGGCTTAAGTGATTGCTGTAGACTCCTCTGCGGTTTTAGCCGCTGCGGTAACCAGCCGGTCGTCTGCGTACCTAACATCAATTCTCAGCGTCAATCCCGGCGGCAAGCATAAATGCTACTGTACTTCTGATTTGTCATCGTTCTGAGCTGCACCATTATCTTCACGTACAAAACAACATCTCACAACCATGGCATCCCTCCCGACCGAAACCCGCCAGTGGCAGCTTGCCAGCCATCCTATCACATATCCAAAGTTAGAAGGACCAGATGTAACATTCGAGATTGCCAAGGTGCCTCTTCCGGCCCTCAGCGACGGCGAAGCGCTTCTTCAAACGATCTTCATCTCCAACGACCCCGCAGCACGCGTTTGGATCACGGGCGGAAAGGCAAAGCCCCGAGAGTATGTGCCACCCGTCAAGGTAGGCGACAAGATGCGCGCGAGATCCCTCTCGCGGGTGATAGACTCCAAGGCACAGAGGCTCCCGGTCGGCACTGTGGTGTTGGCTGCGGGCGGCTGGGCAGAGTACTTTACCACTCATGAAGATCAGTGCATCGTAATACCCCAAGGTTCGGGTTACGACTTGCCCCACTACCTTGGAATCCTAGGACTCACCGGCTTGACTGCGTACTATGGTCTTGTCGATATTGCTGCAACGACCCGTGACGATGTTGTTGTTGTTAGCGGCGCCGCGGGCGCAACTGGCAGCACAGCAGTTCAAGTTGCAAAGAAAATCATCGGGTGCAAGAAGGTGAGAGCGAACTAATTCTCCCATACAATGAGTCACAATTAAACTATCATCCAGGTCATCGGAATTGCTGGCACAGATGAGAAATGTCGTTTTGTTGAGACTCTGGGGGCAGATGTTTGCTTGAACTACAAATCTTCGACATTTTACGAGGACCTTTCAAAGGCAACGGAAGATCTTGCAGATGTATTCTTCGGTATGGAGAACCAACTCCCTACTACATTACAAATTAAGTTCACTAACAACCGTAACCAAAGACAATGTAGGAGGCGACATCTTGGATTTCATGTTCACCCGCCTCCGCCAAGGAGGCCGAATTGCATTATGGTGAGGTGCCCATCGATCCTTCTTGTGTCCGCGTACTAAATATCATCAGCGGTTCCGTATCGAGATACAATAACTTGTCAGAAAAAGCGTCATTCGCTCATTTTGACGTGTGTTGCCCAATGTTAAGTTTAAAAGATCATCAATTAACCCACCTTCTCACAGAATGTCATCACCCAGCGCTTGAAGGTCAACGGGTTTGTGGTGCTAGACTATCTCCACAAGCTCCCAACAGTCATCCAAATCTTCCAACAGGCGGCAAAGGAGGGTAAGCTGAGAGTAGATGACGGCAGCCAAACTTTGGTTCCAGCCAAGTTTGAAGAGATCCCGGAAGTTTGGTTGCGCCTTTTTGAAGGCAGAAATCAAGGAAAACTTGTTACCAAGCTACTCTCGTGATAAATGACGACGTATCATAAAGCTCTCTTCACCTTGGCTGTCCTGGGAAAGCCTGCACATTTATTTCTAGTCTCAACAGCAGGCAGTGATCATATGAGGGACGCTGAAAGACTTCAGTATCTTGTCTTACACTGACGTGGTAATGGCAATTCATTACCTGGATGTAGAATGGCCTCGAACCATTAAGATGTAGCAGGCAAACTGGGAACACGAGTTTCTGCCAAATTCTGTCCCACCTGTTGCTTCAAATAAGAAATTTGCATTATCAACAGCTCACGCTTAATCAATCTTTCCTTATCTTATGCGAATATATTCCCAAGCAGTTCGCTCAAATTACTATGTAGGTCCGTGATCCTTGTCTTAAGATCAAGTCTGCTATACTGATCCTTCTTGTCGAGGATGGCAATAACGATTGCACCCTATAAGAACGCACCGGCAGCTTTCTCAGTATCATCTTTGGCGTCAGGGTACCCATCCATTGGATGCGACGTGGGCAATCACGTGGAGTAAGCGATAAAGCTGGGCGCCTCAAAAGGCAGACCTCAGACGTGACATCATGAAACAAAGCACAACTAATCGCGCATACACAGCAGCGACTACGCGGTCATTAATCGAGAGAAAGATGAATGCGAAATTATGCGATAAATGCTTCGTCATCCCGTTTAACGATCAGCTGCTCGAGCCTCATGTTGTGAAGGAAGTTGTAGGGCAAGATGGGGAATTCTCAACTTTAAGCCTGTCGCCTAGCGCGTATCAGAAGATTCTCCTTGACTACCACGTCATTGATACATTACCAGAGCTACCGTTGTTGAATGAGAGCGCAAATCTGGGATGTAGCTTTTGTTCACTCCTACGGCATGAAATTCTCCGGGCAGGGTTTGACTATCATGGTCCCTTGGATATACGACTTGCGTATTCCTGGGGGGACGATCGCTTCCCAAAGCTTGGACTTGGAGTTTTGGTAGCAGAGTTGAACTGGCGTCCCGATATCCCGTCTATCCCACCAGCTTCCGCCCTGCCTGATATATTACGTGACTGCATCATATTCGCCCTTGAGACCAATGACAGTAAGCCGTTTAACAGCTTTTTGTTGGACATGATCTTGCCGAGGGTTAAGCTTACTTCACTTCATAGCGTCCGTTGCCTCCTGGCTACGTATTCCTCGACTTCGGAAAGCAGATGTGCTCTGTGAAGAGAATGTTCAGTTCATGAAGGAAGCCATCAACAAATGCACGTCAGAGTGTTCTCACCGCGAGACGACTGATTTCCTTCCAACTCGTCTTCTATATCTCGGATCAGACCTGGATTCCCACACTATACGACTTAGAAGCCGCCAAGATACAGCCGAAGGTTCTTGTGATGGTGAAAGTCGCCTAAAATACGCTGCTTTGAGCTACTGCTGGGGTTCGCAAAGCGATGGGGAAAATCAACTATGCACCACATCCGACAGCCTGGAGGCAAGGATGGCCGGCATTAATGAAAACTCGATGCATCCTGTTCTCCGGGATGCGGTCAAGGTCTGTAGAGCACTATCGATTGATTATCTGTGGGTCGATTCTATGTGCATCATACAAGACGACCTCCCTGACTGGGAGAGTGAGAGTGAATCGATGGCTTTTATTTACAGCCACGCTCTGATCACAATTTGCGCTTTGAGTTCAAACTCTGGATTTGAGAGCTTTTTGACGCGAGACCGGAGACATATCCCGATCTCGTTCTCCTCCCAGATAAACCCCAGCATTGTTGGCCAGTACAGCCTGGTCGCGTCGGGTACTTGCCGTGACAAGGTACTCTTTGGCTGGCCGGCCCTGGATGTGGACCATTTTCGATGGGACAGCCGAGGGTGGACTCTCCAAGAGTCCTTAATGTCTCCAAGAAAGTTGTTCTTTGGAGAATCGATGATACACTTCCAGTGCGACCATATCTATGCCTCTGAAACTGGATACTACCAATCATACTTTGATAAATACGGTGAATTCAACTCTGAATCAGAACACTATTTAGTGCGTACTAACGAATGGGACTTGTTACTGTCCGATTACGGAACACGAAAGTATACCAATGTTAGAGACATGTTACCGGGATTGTCCGGGATGGCCAAGTACGTGTCGAAGATACGGAGCGCTCGATATCTCGCGGGGTTGTGGGAGAGCGACTTGCCATACTCATTAATGTGGTTTCCCTGGTGCCGCAAAAACACCGAGAATCACATATTCCTGGATGAGCTCGTCGATCGATTATGCTGCCCGAACCCATATATTGCACCATCGTGGAGCTGCATCAGGCCACTTGGGGGGGTCCGTATTGAGTTTGGGTTGAGATTTGTACGACCAGGATTTTGGAGGGAACTATTGACAGCGGAAGCATGCATTACTGAGACACGAATCACTCCAAAGGGGGAAAACATCTTTGGAGAAATCCAAGATGGAGTGATGCGAATACGGGGGCGAGTAGCAAATGTGCCCGCCGACATTATCCCCCTTTACTGTCACCAAATTTACGCGAGGTTATGGCATATTCAAGTCCAAGGTCGCATCATCGCTTACTGCAACATTGATTGTGTACCGAAAGAAGAGGTGGTTTCTGGAAGCGAGCTGTTAATGCTGATGCTCATGAGCTCTAAAGGATCTCCCTCTTGGGAAGCTATGATCCAACAATGGAACCGCTATGACGATGGTGAGGGCTCAGGTCAGTATTAACAAAACGTTCCCAGCCTCGAATCGTGAAGAAAAGAAACGAAGATGGCGAGTACTCCACTAGATTGGATGCTGACGGTGGCACGTGTAGCTCCTAGCTCAGAACTTGAGGACAGCGATGAAGGAGAAAACGGCAGCCATGAAGTAGAAAACGAAAGCAACGAAGGGGAAACCGACAGTGAGGGTGGCGTGCTGCCTCCTTCATTCTCTCGTGGCTCTAGAAAAGGTTCTCCAACCTCGCATGGTAGGAACGTGTACGGCCTTCTCTTGCATCCGGCTCGTGAATCGGGGAGATTTGTCCGCGTGGGCGTCTGGGCGTCTGTTGCAGGAGATGGTGTAGGAATGAGTTACTTTGAGCAATTTGACCACAGAGAAGTTGAGATCATTTGATTAAATACGTTACTCTTTGTTTTAAGTCTAGACAGATATAGGCGTACTCTGATTATTAGGAACTTCAGCGTTTGAATTAAAGATAGTCGAAAAGAAAGCAGTATTAAGTAGACATTCAAAAATAAATCCATTTAAAAGGGAGCGAGATAAACGATATACATATCAAACTGTTCTATTTCCGTTCAGTTTCAACCCTTGTCACATGCGCTAAGGACGAGTGAACGATCACTCAGCAGGAGTAGCCGAATGGGATAATAACTGGTGGTTTTCCAAAATAGGCAGAGCCAAAAGATAAGAGGCCATGCTACCTTTTCTCTGCTACCATGGGAGAGTATACGGTTGTTCAAAGTTGGTCAGGTGCTCAGTCAGCTTTCTTCACCGATGTTGTTCGTGTTCGTTCAATAAGCTCTTATCGAAGCTATTCTCAGAACGGAAAGGCTTGGGAGGGGAACTTTCGGGCTTGGCGATCCATCATCCATATTCCAGGCTGATCGTGACTCCTCCAGCCAGTCATTTTCAGTGATACTTCGTGAGGACCTTTGAGAGGGCTTTGATCTCTTGGCTGACTCTAAAATGAGTTCATTCTTGGTTGTGGTTCCGAGCAAGATTCGTCCCCTCCACAACTACCTCCATTGCCAACGGATTATTTGTCCGGAACGCATGAACTCGCAGAGTGGGCCCTGCTTTTCTCACACTTCGTATTAACTTGCGGCTCCAAAGCCGCCCAAAAAAAATGCGTCATGCAAAAAAAAATACGAGCGGGATAGCAGCCCCCCACACACACGAAGCGAGGGCGGCGAGAGAGACTGTTTCCATTCCAGCACGGGGTTCCATCGCAGACAGCGCCCTCGAGCCCGTCGCCCATCATCTCAGTCTCCCCTCACCGATTGCATCAATTGAACGATGCAGGCCTTCTGGACGAGGGACGGCATCGAGGTGGCCGCCTGGGACATCGAGCGACAGGCCAGGGCGCTGGCGGCCCGCCACCCGCTGCTGAGGCACGACCTGGACCACCTCCGGAACGACATGCTGCAGTTCCTGCGCGTCGCGGGCATGTTCTCGTCGGAGAAGTCCATCTACCTGCGAAAGGTGCTGTCGGGCGAGCTGCTCGAGGACTGCTACGCCTTCATGTGGGAGCATCAGGAGTGCTTCGTGCTGATTGAGGACTACGTCAAGACCCTGAGGAACGAGTTCAGCGAGGAGGAGGAGTGCGGCTACGACGAAATTGCGGGGATCCGGTTGCAGAGGAGGAGGCTGGAGGATGCGACGGATGTGCTGAGCTTATTTCTACTCCTGGTCACAATGTAGGCTTGCAACATGCTATCTTCATCGTCAGTGTTCGCTAACGGCCAGCAGAATAAAGGACCAGGCAGACAAGGCGCCGATAATGGCTCAAGTGTATGCCCTTCGAACCCGGCTCCGGGGTCGTGGGAGAAAGGATCTCGAGCCGCTCCTTGGAAAGTTCATTTCTCGCGCCAACGTACAGTGCGACCTGATCAGGCAGGACCTTGCGCTATGGCTACCGGATTCTATGGCGAATTCTGTAACGTTTTCAAAGAATTTCAGTCTTGCTGATAGCACGACTACCATTCCGTTCCACTTGGTCCGAAAGTTTGCCCTAGATGTTCTTGACATAGTATACGAGAAGAAGGTATGTTCTGCTCCCCAGGCCCTATCCTACAATCTTAAACTTATAGCCATTGTAGAATGATATGATAGTCGTCCCTCAGAAGCTCCGCTCACCGCAGATATTCATGCTCATTGACAAGGCGCTGGTTGTCGACATGCCACCAATCAGCATCAGAGAACCATTCTACGCCAATCTATTATTCCCCGAGGTGCCTCTGCCTTCTCAGCTAGCCAACGATCCTAGCAGAGCTCTCACTGCCACACTGAAGCACCAAATATCCTTTGACGATAACAATTCTGGCCACATCCAAAGCTTGGACGTGGCTGATGGACTGGTCATCATGGCCAATATACATAACCGAACACTAATCAGCTATAACCTAAAGACAGAGAGACAACAAGAGTACAAGGTCGGATCTCCTTTTGCCAAGTTTACCCCGTGGAGGGTGGAACTGTGCCCCTGGAACTCTAGCTATGTATTCATCACAGGGTGGTGGAAGGGGAAGCCCAACGAGATGGTGACGTACAACCTGGAGAACAACAGACGCCTATCGGTTCGCCGCGCCATATCCACCGCCTGTGTAAAAACGAACGAGGGTGGCGTGGCCGTCATGTACCAGCTCGTGAGCGGCAAGGGCGGCATCGAGGAGCAATCCAACATGATTAGGGAGCCGCACAAGGGACAGCCCGAAATGGCTGAACTCTCCGCTAATATACTGAGTGAGAACGAGTCTCAAATGTTGAAGCCGATGCAGGGCACCTGGTATGCGAAATTAGCCACCAATGGACAGGACATCGCGGTAGTTGAAGAGCACAACGGGTTCTTTCATCTCATCATCTTTGACTCCAGCTCCTTACTAGCGAGCAAAGACAGCGAGGATCCCCTGCCGGAGAAGAAGCGCGTCATCATCGGATCCGAGCTCCTCAGAGACCCCTCGTACAAATACAGCAAGCTTTACGCGGCGAGCGACTACGAAGGATATACGCTTGCCAGCATGGCTCTGAGCCTCGACAGCAACTACGCAGTGCTGGTCTGGTCGGTCCCCAAAGCCGACCTGCGCTACCACCACGCCACGGTGCAGATATGGGTAGTAGACGTTGAGTCGGGGCGGGCGGACCATATCGCCGTCCCCGGGTTGACTGACCCGGCAAACGTCTTCATCTCGCGGGATTGCCGATATGCCGTGATACGAAACATCACACCCTCGCTTGTGAGCAAGGAAAATGAAAAGCTAGTCCATATACTTGATCTGGAGACGAGGAAGCTAGCCGCAGTTGTGGGTGATAAGGACGAGCCCGTGGTTGCCTGCGGCTTTGGACCTGGTGCCGAAGGCGCCTATGCCTTGGCTCTAGCTTTCCAGACACGTGTGGACATTTATGAGTTGAGGTAATGATGAATGAATTGATGATGGGAGTGGAGATATGATTCAATTTATCGGTAAAGCGAACAGTATCCTCAATGATCGGGTGTATCAAGCAATGGAGCATTCTATCCTTACGAATACATGAGTAATGAGGATTCGGAGTTGTCAATTAAATTATGCATAAATATCTAGTTATACAAATTTGCTCATAACACTTCGACCATGCCGGTTTGAAGCTTGTTTATTTATCTTGGCTTCTCTATCCGTTTTGTTGTCAGCGGAACTGACCTGCCCATCACATCTCTTGTAAGCTCCTGTAACCAAATAGGAAGCCCTCGGATGATCGATAGAGATCCAAACCAGGATGGGCAAGTAACATGCCCTGCTCTACCACTGAAGATCTGCGATAGAATAGCCTTGGACACATCCGTTGACTCCACCGTAGGTGCGATCAGGTGAGAGTAGTGATGGGATGTACTGCTCTTTGTCCAGTCAGGCGTCACTTCTGTTACAAGAACCCCGGGTGACTTGTATATGTGCTTAATCTCCTGTCGCAGGCCCTCGATGAACGCCGTCGTCGCGGCCTCGGAAGACGCATAAGGGATGAGATTAGGCAACGCCACGTATGAAGCACCGCTCGACCGCGTGACAATGTGCCCCTTATTATTCCTCAACATAGCCGGCAGGAACTCCTTGGTCGTGTTCCACAACGACAGCACATTGATCTCGTAGACGTGCCGCACAAACTCAGGACGTGTGTCCAGCAGACTGCAGTATCCCGCCACACCGGCGTTCTGGATGAGGATCGACGGGTGGCCGAGCGACAGCCTGATCTCGTCCGCCGCACCCTTGACGGCCTCGGGGTTGCGCACATCGCACCTCCACCACTTGATCTTCCTGTTCTCGGCCAGGTCCCGGGGCAGATCCTGCTCGTCGAGGATGACGACCGTGACGCCCCTGGCGACGAGACCGAGGACGATCTCCCGCCCGATGCCGCCGCACCCGCCCGTGACGACGGCGATCTCCTTGTGCCAGTCCCCCCACTTATTCTTCATCGTCGGCAGCAGCGACCAATTGTTGTATGCGGCGCGGCTGAGGGCGTTGTGGAACGATCTGGCGAGGCCGACGAGGAAGAGGATGCCGATCGCGGACTTGACGGTGCTGCGTCGCGTGACGCCGCCGTATCTGGTTATCAGCTCGAAGAGCCGCTCGACATGCTCGCGCTGGCCGTACTTGATGAAGCCGAGGCACGAGCCTGTGAGGAGGGGGTTGAGGAGGAGCGACTGCAGCCCGCTTAGGGGGGCCGTGATCACGGTCGCCATGGCCTCGATCGTCGTGTCTTATTGGAGGGCGGCTCCTGGTGCCAGGGTACGGCGATCTTCAAAAGCAATCTTCGATAGGATCTAAGGGTTCAAATGGCGCGCCAACAGGCGGTGGGAGGGGGAGGCTCGAGGAAGCACGTGTGGCGGTGGCCTCATGAAGCGATTCATGGATGTGAGGCCACTTGGGCCAGCCCCAGATGCACAACAACGCACAGCCCAATGTTGCGTCATATCGGGACAGGCATGCTTATAATATGGTGCGAGAATAATTAGAATAGCCATTTATGTCGACGCATTGAGTGGATGTTCATGCATAGATGCTGCCATTTGTCGGCTAGCTTTCCCCGTTGGGAATACAGCAGGGATAAGTGCCTCTGTGCAGCCAATTTTAGGCCTGAGTGCAAGCAGTTTATGCATTTTGGTGTTTGCGGTTTCTGTTGTGCCTTATGCCAGGCGCATTATTTATTCTCCATAGTCAATGCACCCAGCCTACCCTACACTACTCCTCCATCTCCTACATTGCGACCAACCACACTGCCACAAATAAATATGTGAAGAAAAGAATCACTACCGGCTGCAAATAACAAATCCAGGCAAATACCGTCGCTCTATTTTACTACTTGTGTGCTGATGCACAGGTCAAGTGTTGGGAAAATGCGTCAACCGCAAAGTTAGACACCGTGAT